GGAGGAGGAGATAAAAGAAAAAAAAAAAAAACCTCTAAAGAGAAAATGTAATCACTATAAATTGATTCATCACATAGGTTTGATGTATTGAGCACGCTTCGAGCAAGAATAATAAGTTTATTAGAGATATATTGGGTAACACTAACTGAAGAAATTACGTGCGATCATTGGACGCCGTTCGAAGGCTAATCATGACACGCCACGACACTAATTTGTTATGTATTGTTACTATGTACCGTTGTATATTGGGTGACATAGCGCGTTCTGATTGACCTCCGGACGATCTGTTGACCGCACATAATAATTTCTCAATCTCCACTTGTGGCATCCTTTATTTGCCAAAGTAATAGAGATATTGAGTTATTATGGCTTAATCATCGGGCAAATGATGTCAAATTCATTAGCAAGCGTGAAGATTAAATCATAATAATGTGAGACTCTTTTGGAGATGGTGAAGGAGAAAATACATAACTCATAAATGAATTGTGGAATAGATTTAGATTAAAGAGAGTATCTACAAAAGTGACATTATTGTTTGGCTTATTTTTTAAAATAATTAATAATACAAAACTTTGGAACCTTTTCCATCATTATTCTTTTCTTTTAAGTTCTCCAATTATAATTTGAAAGTTGTTGATGAGTAATATTTATTTTAATAAGGACTTCAACAATGGAAGGTGTAACACCTCAGAATCAAATTTGGAAGAATTGTCTATTTATCATTTCGAGAATATATCAGAGCTTCTATAAATCATAAATATAAACAAAAACCAACAAAAACAACTAAAATCATATACATTAAAATATTTTCTATTTATTAACTAAAATATCATTTACACTAGCCAGAAAAATTACTCTGCAAAAGAATAAAGGAAAACACAGAACCAAAATTTAAAGAAAACTTGATGATCTCTGGCAATCTTAATCCAATTGGTTCTGACTCATTCCATGACCTGAAATAATTTAAAATCCACATAATGAACTCAAAAGCCCATCAGTAATCCAAACCTCACTAAAATTTTTAATATAATGATTAAATAATCCATATAATATACTCAATCTAATATAATCAATAGCAGTCAGTATAATTAACGATCAAATATTTCCAATAAAATTCAAAATGACCAATAACAAAAATTTTATACATCTTCACTAAATTGATAAATTCTGTATAACTCATAAAAAAGAAAACTCCAAATTGATATTTTTATTAAACTATATTAAACTCAATTTAGACATTTATATTGCAATTATTAATTAAAAAATTGAATATCTATTGATTCAAAGCTTATTTCCCCAGAAAAAAAAAAAGCCTGCCCCTAACTCTCTTGCAAGAATTTAGAACTTGAGAAATCTGTATTTTCTTACAGTGACCTCCTTAACTGATTAATCACATACAAATTAGTGTCAGACAAAAATTAAGATGATTCCAGTTTACATAAAATAAACTTTCTACATAGAAATGACACAATTTATAACTGCGTTATGCAGCTTAATTTGCAACCTTTCCCCTACTGCAGCTATATATAAATATATAATTCAATGGGATCGATCGACTTCAACTATTTCTTTCATGTTTAGGGATTCTTTATAACTGGCAACTTGATGAAGGAGGGGTCATCAGCAAGATCTGGCTTTGTCCCTTTGGAAGCAGATATTGGTAGTTGATCAGTCTCTCCTTTACTCGTTTCATTACAATTGACTGATGAAGTCAAATGATCATTGCTCTTACCCCATAATAAAGAATAAACGCCTATCATTATAGTAATTGCGCCAAGAATCCTGAAATTGAATGCGAAGAACAGTAAGCTATCAATATTTCTGTCAAACGAAGGCTTCTAAAATTTTATACTAAAAAATTGCTTCAAGAAGCAATAAAAAAATAGTCTCAAACTAAGCAGAAATTTCATGTTGATTTATATAAAGCAAAGATTAGTACTTTTTATACCTTCCTAGAGATATTTCCTCTGCTAATATAGAGGAGCCCATAGCAGAAGTGAAGATCATGCAGAAAGGGTTGAAGGCTGTAACAAAAACTGGACCTCTCTCTTTCATCACCTTCCCTTGCACATAATAAGCAACACCCGAGCATATTGTGCCCTGCAGTCAGATATCTATCAATTATATTTAAGCTTTTGTTGATGTCAGAAGAGCTTAAAGATAGTTCTTTCAGAGAATTTATACGAGCTTTTTTCTACAGGAAATGCTAAAAATTAATATTTCTTTGTTGTACAAATATTAAGAATTGCATGTTTGAAACTTACAGTGTAGAATGCACTCAACAATCTCAAGTCAAATCCAATAATCCAGGGCTGGGCTCTTCCACGTTCTATAGCTAATACGATAATAGTGTTTAGTACCACGCCCATGCTGCATATCCAAACGCTTAAGGAGAGCTCAACAGGATATGATTCCAAAGTTTTTTTCTGCAACAAAACAAATATTTATACTTGCAAGAAATCAATAGTTGAGATTAATTTGCATTAAAGATTATTTTTATGACTAAAACTAAGTAGCATTTATGAAGATTGTGCCGCTTTTTTATTCTGAGGCTTCCTTTGGTACAACTTTAGGTAACTGTTTTTTCTCCGATTTCAAGGGATTTGTATAAAAAAAATAGCTTTACAGAGCAATAAAAAATCCATCCTAAACGAAGCCGTAAGCACAACTTTTATTACTGCTTCTTGAAGCAACTTTTTAGTTTAAAAATGTAAGTTTTTCTACTAAAAAACTGCTTTAAGAAGCACTAAGAAAGCCGTCTCAAACAAAGACTAAGATCTTGTTTGGGACGGCTTTCTCACTACTTCTTAAAACAACTTTTTAGTACAAACATTAAATTTTTTGTGCTGAACTGTTACTTTAAAAAACATTACTAAAGCTGTCCCAAACAAACATTATCAAATCAACCCAATTGAATTAAGTCATATTCTTGCGTACCCAACTAATATTTATTTAACAAACTGTACTCTCATTGAATTGGAACACAAACTATTCACAAGTATTGATTCAGATTGCTTCATCAAACAAATAAAAGAAATATGCTGCAAAGATTTAATTTGCATTACTTGTAATATCAAGAAGGAAGACCATCCCACAGTGCTAATAAGCAGCATGAAAGTGCCATAGAGCAGGTTGGTTCCTCCACCATGGCCAACCTCAACACCTTGTGCCTTCTGAGGGTCTCCTCCCTTTGTCCACACAGAGTTCACTATAGGACCTTTGTATATTATCATCAAAACTGCACCTGCTACTGTCACCACTGTACCAACCAGTTTTGCTTGGCTATGTCTTCGTCTAAGGTTCAGGTTCTCCATTCTGAATTTGATCAAATAAACGTTAGAAATTTGGTTCCAGTTTGTACTTATGATTTGGCACATGATGGATTAATTAATTTTTTACCTGAGAATAAGAGCCATTATGAAAGTAACTGCTGGTAGTATATTGTAAAAAGAAGAAGTGAAGCTTGCAGAGGTCAATTTGTTTCCCATGTAATAGAAGTTCTGGTCTATCACAGGCCTGGAATTAAAGATAATATCAATCAATTAAATTAAACACTTAACTAAACCAGCAATAAGATGGAGTACTCAAGTGTTTAAGGAGAGAACCATTATTATTACTTACTCCATGATAGCCAGTCCAACTATCTTGAGGAAGATAATCGGAGTGAGCTTTGGTCTTCTTTTCCTGCCATGCCATGCATATAAATTAGTAACTGAAAACTATATATGTTAAATGGTTAAATTTAGTCATACGTTTTGACGCCGGAGTTGAGCTGTTTAATCTTGTTAAACTTTAGGCTAGTTTAATTCCATTTGGTAGTTATAGGACTGTATAAGTGTACTGCCTTTTTTGTTGGTGTACCCCATTATGTTGTTACAATTGTCTATAAATATATAACCAATACTTGTAATATGCAGATTGTGAGAGATGAATAATATTTGAGTAGTTTTACTCCGTTTTGTGTTCCTGTATCCTGAGATTGATTCTCAAGTGGTGGATTCTTTTCCCAAGGAGTTCTTGGAGCTAGTTGTGTCCAACGACGGCCATCGGATCATCGGCGTGGATTTGTCAAACCCCCTCCGGTCCGATGACATTTTTTCTCAAATAAGATGAAATGAAATTTTTTCCTCATTTTAACTTATTGTAGAGTTATTTTAAAGATTCTAGTCAAGTTTTTTTATAGGGAACACAAGCTAAATAATGCTCACCTTTCATGAGAAAGTACAATTGTGAGAATTGAACATATATAAACTTTAGTTTAGATTAATAAATACAAACTTTAAACTTAACATCTTGTTTTAGTTTGCTAATTAAGTTCAAGCTAGCTCTTGTTAAAGAAGATCAAAGAGACCTTGAGAGAGAGAGAGAGAGAGAGAGAGAGAGAGATCTTTATAAATATATATACCTCTCAAACCAGAGTGCAAAAGGACTGATAACAACAGCAGCAACAGCGTTCCGAAAGACAACAAGAACAAAGTGGTTCATTCCACGCTTAAGAGTTGCATTTGCAATAATGGAAGAGCAAGAATAACCAAACTGCAACAAAACCATAGCCACATATGGCTTCACCCTCTTCAGCATATTTATACCACCTTCTCCCACAGTTGACATCGCCATATGCACACTTATAAACACTAATATTTTAATGAGCTTCGACAGAAGCATTTAAGCTGGTCGCTTCCTTCATGCATGTTTATAGGACTTGAAAAGTGAGAAGACATGTCATTAAAATATAGATCATTCTCTCTCATCAGTTTCTCTCTCCATTTTAGTCAACTATGGCCTCTAGTAGTATAACTTATTATGTGGGAGTCTCATATGGCCTATTTTGATTAGAGTCTTCACGCAAGTTAGGACAAATTCCCCATATTATAATTTAGTATTCTATTTCTATTTTGTATCATATATTATTTAGTACTAAATACTTAATGCATTCAAGTTTTCTATTTAGTATTATTATTAGGCTCGGCTATGGGAGAAATTATTATATGTATGGAGATCGGATGCAGAACGTCGTTCGGAGACGTAGTGGTACTAAGCCGTTGTACCGGGGTGACGTAGCGCATTCTGGTTGGTCTTTGGACGGTGTTCGGCTTCCGCACAAAATAATTAATCGGGGCTACCGAGGGTGCAATTACATGAGAGAGAGAGAGAGAGAGAGAGAGAGAGAGAGAGAGAGAGAGAGAGATTGTCTTTGATGCCTTGTTGCATTTGGAAACCCAGTAGTGACAAGTCTTTAAAGCATTTATGTAATTACTTTTTGATCAGTTTAGTGGCCAATTTAGTGCTTGCTGATGATGCATGGATGGCACATTATCAGGTAACAAATGAGGTGCGTTTGCGTTCGTGTTAGGAAAAGCTAGCTAGTTAGGCGACTTTGATTTACTTTGCTTATGCGACGGCTAGCGAGGAGATTAGGCTCTTCTAATTGGCTGTGGCACTGTAAATTTTGGTAGTTAAATTTACAGCCACAAGAAGAAACGAAGCAGCTCTTTTGATTAGTTTATTAGTGATCTGATAATGTTATTCAGGATATTGTAAAGAATTATATGATTTTATGTGGCTAAGAAACTTCACAGATTTGTTTATTTTTGATAGCGTAAGAAAAGGATTTTAAGTGGATGTATAGAAGCTTCGCATTGCAGGCTAGCTTATGGAAACAATTTAATTAATTATAGATATAATGGTGCATGGCTGATCAGCTTCAATTCAAAAGCTGATAATTCCAACATGTTATTTTTTAATGCTTATCGCTCATTTTCAACTTGTCATGTACGATAATTCTAAACCTTAAAACTCTAAAATTTAAATCTTGTAGCAATCAGGTGGAAATTTTATACTGTCTTAGCGTATTACTTTCATACCTAAAGTGTTAGCGGGTGGGGCTGGATTGTTAACTGTAGAGAATTAAGAATTTGATGGGGAAAGGAAGAAATTACAAGGGGTGTCAAAAATGGACACAATTACTCGAAAATCTGATTTGGAATGATTCTCGAAAATCTGATTTGGAATGATTTTCGAGTTAGGGCCAATCCGCTTTAAGAATGAGTCGGGCTCAGGTCAACACAGAACGGTTTTAACTTGATTTGCCCGGTTTTGCTAGCAGACTTGCCAAACCACTCACGGCACACGCCCGTTGCCCACTGGCCAGTGGCCATGACTCTCGCCTTGCACGCCGTTGGCTGCTGCCTGCATGCCTGCCATCACAAGGTATCACACCAATCGTCAGTCACAGCTCTCACGAGTCACTCTCACCTTGGCCAGTTAGCCTGGAACGCCCGCCTGCCATCGTGGCCTAGCTGGCGGCCCGGCGCTGCCTGCTCCTCGCTACGCGACGGAAGGCTGGACACGGCATGCTTAACCCGTGCACCTCAAGACTCCCGCAAATGGTTTCGTATCGTGTCGGGTCAAGTCGGGTTGAAATTTCTGACCTGTTTGCGAAAATGAATCAGGTTCTGGTTGTGCCAAATGATAGCGGGTCTGTATCGGGTTTGAATCCGACCCGTAACCTGATTTTGACACTATGTGATTTAAAACTAATTGTCAAACCCAAATTCTTCATGAAGTATGTTTGCTTTCTTACAGCTTCTTAAATAGCAACTTTGTAGTACAAAATATTAATTTTTTTTTAACAAAAAGCTGCTTTAAGAAGTTGATATATCCTCAAAAAATCATCTTGATCGGGCACGAATCTCGAGGCAAAATCAAGCCGGAACTTCAAAAATTAAATCTGGGGTCACCTGAACTCTGATTTCAGTAAACTTATAGTCAAACTGAGCGTCTCGGAAATACAAAACCAACGACACCAAATTCGACTCAATCTGAGCCCAAATGAGTCCAGATCAGGCACCTGAAGTGCTGTTGAAAAGTTCAAACCATAATTTGAGTTACCAAACGGTTTCCAAACATAACGTGCTTATATTCGAATCGAGAGGATCGACGAGACGAATCCAACGAGCCCAAGATCGCCGAATTCTGACATCATTAAGACCTTCAAATGTTTGACGAACGGTACACGATCAAGGGATTCGATCAATATCGGCCGTCCATCGAACCACTCCACATTTGCCCTTGATCCTCCTCCTATTTACTAGCCATGCCATTCTCAAAAACTATAAATATCCTCTTATTTCTTCTGAGAGGGGACCCAAGCAAGAAGAAGAAGAAGAGAATGATTGGAGGGAGGAAACTCCTCCATGACCACCGCCAGAATTCTGCCCGACGCCCGAGTGACGCCAAAATTCTGCCCGATGCCCGAGTGACGCCGGAATTCTTCCAGATGCCCGAGTGACGCCGGAATTCTTCTGATGACCTGGTTAAGAGTGTAGATGTATTAGATTTGATCTATACTAAAAAAGTAGAGATAGACTTAAATAGACTTGGTTTATTATAAAATATTAGAAATGATATATTTTTTGTTAAATTTAAATGAGAATATGGCTCTTAATCATACACAATATATATATAAAAAAAAAGATTCATGTAGTCTATCCCACATAGTGAGATAAATGTTTGATGATGATGATATTGTTGTTCATATGAAATAATTAAAATTTATATTGGTGCAATAATAATTTTTTTTTTATCATTTTACATAATTAAACTTTGAATTAAAATTTATTTTGCCATCTTTATTTAATATAAATAAAAAAGACTAAAAATAAAACATAGATGTTTATTGAAATCACTCGACAAATAAGTGACAATATTGGTGCAATAATAAGTTTTTTTTCTCATTTTACATAATTAAACTTTGAATTAAAATTTATTTTGCCATCTTTATTTAATATAAATAAAAAAGACTAAAAATAAAACATAGATGTTTATTGAAATCACTCGACAAATAAGTGACAATTTCTCTATTCATATGAGTGAATTGCTCCATTGAATTTATCGCACAAATCATAATGAATTTTTTTTAGTAATTCCTCATATTAATTTTGAGTACCTCAATGGACTGTTTAAGGGGAGAGATAATAAGGATGGTTCATAGACGAATTAGAATGCACTACGTCATCCGGTACACAACGATGCATAACATCGGTAAATTTTATTTTTTCTAAGAAGAATAAATATTTTAATTATTTTGTCCACCTTCAATAATTACAGTTATGTTAAGTTCTCAAAAAAATATTCATTTTTTTCTATTTCACACATAGAATTATGTAATTCACAATCCTATTTTTCAGTTTTTCACAATTATGTATGTCGCAAAAATATTATTGTTATTATTTTTTAATAATTTTATATGATTATAGAAATTTTTTATAATTAAATATGTTAAAGGATCACATATATTGAAGTGTATTACAATTTCATTTGTATGTGTGTAGCTTTTATAAAATTGGTTGAAAAGTTACTGTGAAGAAAGTAATTTTTTAGAGTCTATTTGGAATGGTTGTAAGGTTTTATAAATTTGATTATGAAGAAAATAATTTGGCTATTTTGATTGAAGAAAGCATATTTCCATCATAAATTTTTTTAAAAAGCAATAAAAATAATAGTCAAACAAAATTATATTTATTATCTAAAAAGTAAAGCAGCTAAAAAGCTATCACAAACAAACCCTTAAAACTATTGTAAAAAGATAATATTATAAACATAAATTGTGGTTGAGATCTAAAAGTCAAAATAATAAGAAAGCTATTCCAGATGAAGCCTAATTATATATTAAAAAATATTATCTTTTTATTTTCAAGAGAAAATCGTTTATAATATACTAAACATTTTTTTTTAAATTTTATTTTCTCACAATAATTATACAAATATTTTTATCTACAGCCATAATCATCTCAAGCGAACACTTAGAATTCTTTTTAGTTGGCAACAACCATCGATCTATAAAATTAGATGAAAAATCATTATATCAAAAATAAAATTTTAAAAATTTGTATAAAAATTATACATTTCTCCCTTAAGAAATTCGGATGCCAAATTTTATACAGCTATCACTTCCAATAAATTTAAATGTTAAAAAGCCTTATAAGAAATTTTTTTTTTTCGAATAAAAATTTTAATAAAATAAAAATGCACCAACAATTTATAAAATAAAATCAGAAAATAAATTATCCTTTAAAATTTCTGGCAGGAGTACACAAAGCAGGCTGAGTATAATAATATAGGTTTATTTATTTATTTATTTTATAAAAAGAATAGTAATTCTTCTCTTGCATCTTATATTAATATTACTCGTCAAAATCTTTAAATTGCTTAGTGTTGTGTGTTGGAACATTTGCAACAGTAGAAAGATAGAGCTTACGTCTTATTTTTGCATGAAAGTCACACACATATAAGAAAGAGGATGTGCGAGAGTCATAAGAGATATGAGATTTTTTACGTGAAAAAGAATACAAGAAAGGGAAATACTATGAGGCTCGGCCCAATTGAAATGAAATACTGAAATTTATCATTAATGATGTCCTTCCTCCGAGGAAGTATTGACATAATATAGTAAATAAACATTGTATATGACGCATTACATAGTTGAGGTTAGAAGAATCCAATAACAGGAGAGCCGTTCTTAAGAGATCATTTCCCTATTTATTTGATTGGTAAGACTATAGTCAAACGATGGTGGTCAGAGGACCGTAGTCGGGTGATAGAGGTAGGATTTGGGCTCCAATCCCTTGATTTGGATTCATTTGGGTTTGAATTAAATCTTTTTTGACGTCGTTGGATTTGTGTTGTGGATATGTTCATTTTAACTATAAGTTTGTGGAATTGATGTTCAGATGGTCCCAAATTTCAGAAGTTTTCAAGTCAAATATTCCTCAAGATTCATGCTAGATCAAGGCGACTTTTGGCAGCGTATCACTAAAATTTAAAATAGCTTACATTAAAATATAGGTTTTAATCATGCAAATATCTTAATAAACATTGTAAAATATGCAAGAATATCAAAATCTATATTTGGAAGTAAATCATACAGCGAAACAAAGAAGAAAAAATATAAATTGACCAAAATTTGACATGCAAAAATTTGAAATCGGATAAAAATCATGGAACCTCACCACACCAAGAAAGTCACTATGGGGTTGTTTGGTTGGAAAACAAAGCGGTGTAAAGTACCACAAATGTAGAGGTTTTCAAAATATTGTTTGTTTGTGGAATGAAAAAGTAGCGCAAAGTAAAGTAGATCAACAGTAAATAATTTTAATTCATTTTTTTTGAAATAAACCAAACTCCTTCAATTTTGAGCAAGAACTATTTACACCACAAGTTAAGCTTGATTGACCGCCGGCCACCACCTCCACCTGTCGCTATCAGTCATCACTCGCCGAACACCATCGCTGCCACCCCACTGCTAGCCACCTCGCCACCACCCATTGCTAGCCACCACCATCGCTGCCATCCGCCCACCACCTGTCACCTCAGTCGGCGATTGACGACCACGACCACCATCGTCAACCGCCACTATTTTTGGACTTTACATTATATTCATTACTTCCAATAATAATCATAATAATAAAAACAATTTATCTTTCTTTACATTCATCCAAACCACTCCAAAGTATTTTTTTAGGCTGTTTTTTTTTTAACCAACTAAACAGCCCTTACGAAAATCGAAAGAAATTGTACAAATCCATTTCTCTCACTCTTATTCACACCATTTTATAAAGATAATAGCCGAAGATACTCCTTTCAATACACCATGGAAAGCAACCTTTCAAGCTAAAAATGAAAACAAGAAAAAAAAAACTGCTCAACCCACCTCACAGAGTCGTGACACCGGGACTTGAAGCCTTACAACACTCTACTCTCTGTCTCCAATCTCTACTCATAGCACCGCAATGTTGGCTCTAGAGTGCTGCAACTCTCCGTTCTTTATCTTCATATCAAGACTACAATGCCCCACACTATATTCTATAACACTGCAATGCACGAATATACAACATCACAATGCTCAAGTATATAATGCCCATGAACCCTAAGCAATGTGAGGCCCCCCGCAACTCCTCGACAAGCTCTCACAAAATTGAGATTCTAATTAATAACACAATCCAATTGATCAACCCAATCAAATTTCACGTAACACCCTATTTGCTCTTTGTACATATATATTTTTCTTACTGATAGATCTCCATGATTATATCTGGTTTGTGGGAATAGAATGAAAGACAATTGCCAAGGGGCATGTTTGATTTGAAGGAATTATCTTGATGCAAATATTTTTTATTTATATATTCCTACTGAGCATTTTGTTATAACATAAATGATACATAGTTAAATTCTCTAAGGAAATATAATTAAAAAAAAAAAACAGTATTTTTCATTGATAAACTCTTAACCGATTGTGATGAAAAACGTGAAATTTTATTATTTTTTTCCCCATCAAATCATCGCTAATAGGGATGTCAATTCGGGCCAACGGGTCGGGTTCGGATCAAATCCGGAACTGACCCGACACCATTCGGGTCAACCCGAACCCGACCCGTTTTTAAAAACGGGAAAAAACGGGTCAAATTTCCGAACCCAAACCTGACCTGGTTCGGGTCTGGGTCAACCCGACTCGACACGAATGACCTGAAGTTGACCTAAAATTGATAGTTTTCGAGTCAAAAATCGATTCAATATTTGATTTTCAGCTCAAAATCCGGTCAATCTTGTGTTTTCAAGTCAAATAGGAGTTTTCATGTCAATTTCAAATCATTTTTGGGTCAATTTCGAGTTGTTGGCTCAACACGAACCTGACCCGATTTTTAAAACGGGTTGATTTGTTGAACCCAACCCATTTCAAGTTCGGGTTGACCCTAACCAGAATTTTTCCAGGTCATATTTGGGTCTTGTTTTGGGTCGTGTCAAAAATTGACACCCCTAAATTCACTAACTCACATGTTCTCTCTCTCTCTCTCTCTAAAAAAAAAAAACAAACAATTTCTTCTCGACCAACCAAGCAAGCAAACAAATGGAAACTCACCATAGTTCAATTCATTTACTACTTTGATTTTCTTTTATGTTCCTATTTCAATTCCTTCAAACCAAACATAACCAAATTGGAAATGCTAAATGAGCTCAATTGAAATTAGTTTTCACCCTTTTATTTGGATGAGAGTAAAAAGTTAAATTTTTTTGATAGGCAATTTCCATGCTGGTGATAATATAGCAAAAGACATTAAAAAAGCAGCAGCAACACTATAAACCTCATAAAGAATTATCAGATGGATACAATTCTTCATCCTCTGCAAATCACATTTGACTAACTGTCACTATGGATTTTCACAAAACAAGTTTTTCATAAGCAGATGCATTGATATAACAAATATTTCGTTTGGGACAGCTTTCTTATTGCTTCTCAAAGCAGCTTTTTACTACAAAAATTTAAAATTTTGCATTAAAAAGTTGACTTAAGAAGTATTAAAAAAGCCGTTGCAAACAAAACCTAAGATACACATGCATTATAGTACACGAGAGAAGCTCAGCAGATCTCTAGATCAACAAAGAGAGAAGAAAAACATTCAAAAGTTCTTCAAAGCATCAAGAAAATATGGAAATGACTGCAAAACAGTTTTTATGACAAACAACAGAGATGTAAGCTTCATTTGGGAATGTTTTTTTGCTGCTTTCTAAAATAGCTTTATAGTACAAAAATTTCTTGAATTAAAAATTTTGTACTAAAAAATCATTTTAGAAAGCAATAAGAAAGCTGTCTCAAATAAAGCCGTAAACCTTGTGCCGTGAGAGCAATTGAGAAGAATTATGCTGTTTTTCATGTTGATGATACAATATATCAGAACAGTTTTAAATGAAATTAAAGAAAAATATATTAGGATACATAATAAGTTGAATAATTTCAGATCACTGTAAATATTTAAAAAAAAATGTTGAAAAAATCATGTTACAGAGTGAAATATCACAAACGTTTTGAATGGTCAAGTCTGCAGGGTATGACAGAACTAAGAAAAATATATAAATGGAATTACCTTCAACTTTAAGTCTTTGATAATTGTCAGCCAATATAAAGAGGGCTATAGACATCGCAGTTGAGAGTACACAGTTTTTGCTTCATTATATTAGAGTAGCAGAATGTACGATTATCTTACTCACGGCCTGTAAGTAATATAAACAGCTCTTCATCAGTTATTGCTCCAAATTCCATAGCCCTCTCTAGACAAGTCAGGCCGCCACTATCTTTAATCAATGTGTTTGCACCTCTGTGTAACGGTATCAAACATAAGTTATAAATTATTGTTAGATACTAGTTTTAGCAAGAAATCAGATAATGACAAGTCAGGCTTCGTTTGTGACGGCTTTCTTCCTGCTTGTTAAAGCGGTTTTCTAGTATAAAAATTTTGTACTAGAAAATTGTTTTAAGAAGCAGTAAGAAAGCCGCCCCAAACGAAACCTCAATAAGGTCTCTGGGCTGATACAGGACCTTTGGCTGGTGGGTACATCAAGACAAGACTAGTGGAATAACCTAACTAGAACAGCCTACTCTTGGATAAAGCGTTGGCGACAATTAATGCAATTACAATGATAGGAAATACTTGGTTTTGCAAGTAACATAACAAAAATCGGCGAACCAACAGCAGCCAAATGGCTGTCCACAGCAGGAAAACAGCAGAAAAATGCTGTTTACAGCAGAAAAACAGCACTTGTCCGGTAAAATCTGAGAGAAAACTCAAAGGAAAGCTTGTATTTCACTAGTAGATGAATAAAAACAGCAAGATACAATTGATCCTCAATTCGAGAGGAGGATCGATCTCTCCCAAATCTCTAGACGCCGCTAGAGCCCAAAGAAACCCTAAATCTACGAGATCTCAAATTTCAGCCAAATTCAAGATGCTCAAACCCTAGGAAAATCTACTATTTAATGCATACAAATCAAAAGGAAATCCCTAAACAGTCCCTACATTCAAATTTCCCGCTCAAAACGCTACAAAACGCTTCCTAAAATGATCTCTTCGGCTGGTCGGGCCGCTCGATCTCTGCAGGAGGCGGAGATCGGTCGCTCTTTGCGACTTGCCGGTCCTGTGCGGACCGGCTGGACCGGTCTAACATACAACCATTTTGGTTTGTTGGAGAAAGAGATGTTGAATAAAATATGAAATTCTTGCTTTGAAAAAGATTCATAAAAATAAGGCACTTAGACTTCGTTTGGGACGGCTTTTTTAGTGCTTCTTAAAGTAACTTTTTAATATAAAAATTTAAATTTATATACTAAGAAGTTGTTTTAAGAAGCATTAAGAAAGCCGTCCCAAACGAAGCCTTAGTCTTATATGAAAGACCCATTGAGATTTAGAAAGTTTAGAGAGGTACTGTAATCTTCGATAACAAATCTTCTAAATATAATGTAATCATACTAATAAGAGGATATCAAATCATAGTAGGACCAACATTTTGTACCAATATGTAAGGACAAAGGGAATACTCAAGTTTGAGCTAAAGAATAAATGAAGCAAATTTATGAGTTCACGATGAAGTTATGGCTGTAAGTAATGAAACATAGATTTAGAAGAAAAAATACATCAATTTCGGAGACTTAATTTAGTTTCATGCACAGAAGATCTATTATGAAAAAGAAAATAAAAATAATTTTAATATTATTTTTATGGTCTTAAGAAGATATCTGATTAAGCAGCAAGGGAATTCATTTGAAGTGTTTTAAGGAAAAAAAAACGTGCCTAAAAATATATTCAATAGACTACAAACTAATACCAAAAATGGTAAAAAAAAAAAACCGAGAGTTTAACTTTCGTAGATTTAAATCAAAACATAACATTGAGCACATATGTTTTATATTGATTAAGGAAAAAATTAAAAGGGATATTTAAAAATGTATGCATTGGTAGATGCATTTTCACAAAAATATATTTTTAATTGTATCCTATGATGCAAATAACATAAAATCAATAAAAAATTGATGTGCTAAATAAAGCTAAATGTGAAATGTCACGATGTCTTTATTCAAGTGAGTACCTTCTGATTAGATATTTGGCGAGGGAATCATTCTTTCTAAAGATAGAGCAGTGAAGAGGGGTTCTTCCATGGAAGTCCTTTTTATTTATGTCAGCACCAAACTGTAGCAGGAGTTCCACCATGACAGGATCACCAATATGGCATGCTAAGTGCAGCAAGGAACAACCCTCCAGAACGTTTGTAAGTTCACAGGAATCCATTGTTTTCTGGCATTTTGAAAGATCAAGTTGTATATTCTCCATTTCACCGTTCAGTGAAACATCCCCATGGTGGCAATGTCTGGTGGTGCTTATATCATCGTAACTAGTATTAGGGTTGGCATCAGACACTACAAGGAGCCGATACATGGCTTGGATATTACTACTTTTAACTGCTTCCCAGCTGCGGACATTGACTGGAGGAAGATCAGGCTGGTTACCATCCTTGGAAATCATAATCCTCTCCACATACTTCAAGGTCAAACACAATGAGATTCAGTTCAAGTGAATTGACTATAAATCAATTATAGAAAATACAAAAGCATTCGTGAAGTATGAAAAAGTCCAGATGAAAATTATCCACACATGTTACAAGTGGAATATGCTACCGTACTGATGCCGGGTGAGTCTAGGTTTGGTGCAGTCTTAGGAATTATATAGTGAATGAAAATAATGCATCATGCAGGCCTAAAATCATAATCATTTAAGTAAATGAAAAATATAGTAAATTGATGTTTGCTCAAAAAAAATGGGCGCTCCAGCACAAATCCTGCTTTACAGACTTATGATTTCATTCTCCTTTAAGGTAGATTGTAGTTAATCAAATTTCTCCTGAAAGTTGGATCAGGATTTAGTTAGATTTGAATCATTACTTCCTATGAGCACAAGCCCTCATAGTTAACTCCCCCTCTGACTATGTAAGAGAGCTCTTAATTAAAAATGAATATTTTTTAAGATATTTTAGTCTTGTTTGTTGGGAATGGAGGTAGATTGGATTAAGATTCCATGGTTCCATCGTCTCAGGAATACCGTAGGTTTTAGTCTACCAACATTAGCACTTGTTTATCGTAGTTTAAAATTGCGCAAAATGAGGCTCGCCATGAGGCCCGCCTCAGTGCAATTTTAGTGAAAAACGCCTCGAGGCTTACGCCTCTAGCTTTTTTATGAGGCTTGCGCCTCAACTTGGCTGAGGCCAGCCTTGAGACACGCCTCGCCTCGCTAGTGTTAGGCTTACGCCTCACCCTATTTGTATAATTTTTTTGTTAAAACTAATATAAATCACATCTTCATTCACATTCAAACACAATAACTTTCTCTCGATTGCCTCTACCTCCATTATGCGGCCTTCGCCGTAACCAACACCGTCATAGTCGTCATCGACAATCACTTGAAAACTGCACACAACCACCCTAAAAATTTTGGAGCATTAATCTCATATTTATTTTGATGAAAATATTTCTAAAAGATGAATATGATTGAAATAAATTAAAAAGAAGCATATTGGTATAACTAAAAAGACTTGGTTAGAAAATATTAGGAATGACCTTTCTTTATTAGATTTAAACGAGAAGTTGACTTTTAATAGGATACAATGGAGAAAAAGGATTCATGTAGCCGACCCCACTTGGTGGGATAAAGGCTTGATGTTGTTGTTATTGTATATTGAGAGGCGTTCAACTTTATTGAATGAGGCAGAGGATAGACCAATTTGTTATGCAACAACTCAGATAAAGACCAGCTCAGTGATGACAGTGCAGATAATTCCTAAGTTGTTGCCAACTATTTTAACTTTTATTAAGAATTAAATGTAAATTAGAAGATAATTGATAAAAAAAAGATAAAGGCTTGATGTTGTTGTTGTTGTTGTTGTTGTTATTGTATATTGGGAGGCGTTCAACTTTACTGAATGAGGCAGAGGATAGACTAATTTGTTATGCAACAACGCAGTTAAAGACCAGCTCAGTGATGACAGTGCAGATAATTCCTAAGTTGTTGCCAACTATTTTAACTTTTATTAAGAATTAAATGTAAATTAGAAGATAATTGATAAAAAAAAATTGGAGCTGAACTTGATGTCATATGATGTTTCTATGCAAATTCTATATTTAATATTATTTTGCTTTTATAATATTTAGATTTTAATTTCATTTCATGCAATTTATTACTTTTCACTTTAGATCTTGTGCAATTTTTTGTTTCATGTGTATGTAAATTTATTAATTCATAATTCAATATAAAGTTAATATGTAATCATTTAACATATTATTTAGGTATTATATAAAAATCACTTTTGACATTTATTATCACTTTACGCAATTTTTTATTTATTTTGAGGCTTACGCCTCGCCTCATGTACAAAAAACGCCTCAATACCCAATTGCGTAATTTTAAACATTGGACTCTAAAGTACACAAAGTACATCAACGAAGAATGCGGAAGAAGAAAGATGAACAAATCATATGTAATTAATTAAGAATTACATGTAATTTAATTAATATAAATTACTAAAATTTAAAATTAATTAGATAATTAATAATATAAATAATAATATTAATAATTAATTAGATAATTAATATTCTAAATAATAATTAGATAACTATTAAAATATTAATATTTATAATAGATAATTAAGCTAATTAATATCCCTAAAATTAGATAATTAAGCTAGTTAAGTTAGATAATTAATATATGACTAATTAGTTTCTCTTTTTAAACCAACTTTTTTTTTTTGAAAAATTATAATTACTTGAAAATTATATCTAATAAATAGTTTAATAAAAAAATTACTAAAATATCCCTATTTTTTAACACCATTAAGTCCAACATCTATTTATTTAGATGTTAGGATCAAATAATCCAATTTTAAAGAATTGAGGGACAAAATTAGTCCCTCCCAAAGATTTAAGGGACCATCTTGGCCCTTTTCTCCATTAACAAGTATGGCAGTTGACTGCATGCCATTTAAGTAGTTTGAAAAGCTCACCTTGGGCATAAGAAGTGGCCAAAGTTCAATGGCGGCCTAAGATGAAGAGCTCAGAATAAACCAGCCAAAGGAAATGAATGAGACAGCATTGATGAAGGGACGTCCTCTTTTTAGTACCAAGTCCTTCTAGTTGAGTTCATTTTATTAAAAGGTGGTAATGTGAGGATTTTAGATTTGGTTTTGAACATCATTTTAACTTATATTAAATGTTTTATGAAGTCACGGTCCCTATTGCCATGTATCATTTCACATTTTTTTCATCTGATCAAATGGTTGGGCTAAAATCGAAATAGCCCTAGTCAACTCCATTGAATCACATGTTAGTAAAATAGTAGCAATATCTTGTGTTCTGTTCTCATATATGGTTTCCCACACTACCCCAAACTATAAAAGAGCTTCTCATGCATAAAAAAATCTCACTCCATATTTGGAAAAAGAGGATGAAGACTTTTTCAAGCCCCTGGAGTTACCACAGCTGCTTAGTGCCGCTAATTTAGAGTTGTATAATCAGGCCATTGATTAGGTTTACTCTTCTATCATTTCCGAATTTTAGGTTTTCTCTTTCAATCGCATGATTCTGTTGTTCCTTTGTTTTTTACGTATAGGATCATTTGAATTTTAAATATGGAGACAGTTTGGATTTTTTTGGTGCTTAACGATGGAGATCTCAAGAAAAGGATGATCTTGCTCTTTACCACTATTTTAGGATGAGACCTTTCTATAGACATAGCAAAATTTTAGTAAAATCTTTTTTCCCTGTAGTAGTAGTTTTAGTATGCTAGGAATTAAAACCGACAATAGCGTGGTGTAGATTCACACATAGTATGTTATAAATCATTCATTGCATAAACTGTATTCTGTTTGTGAAATATAGCATTTGGAGCATATTCCGTTTATTTTCTAAACTCAATTTCCACCCCAAAATATAGCTGGAATTCATCGCTTTTAAGGCATGTTTTTTGTTTCTAGTTTGCATCATATGTTCTTCACAGCATTATTTATTTTATATGCATGTAACTTACTCTGATCCCATCCTGCATCACCTGAACTCTGGCCCAACAGATCACAAAATGCGCAAAAGTCATACGATTTTATGGATGAGATAAGACGCATTGCTTTTCAGCTTAGCAATAAGGGGAACAAAAGTTGAACCCAAAAACAAATCAGCACGGTTTAATGTACCCCGCTGCATCGTGTAAATAGCCTATTCATTCAAGCTAACATAATAAAACCAACATATGCAGCATCTACGAGATAAAAAAGTTAGGACAAAAACTTTTAAATACAATTCACGGTTATGACGAGTACCTTTGCCTGTATGAATTTGTCTTTGACAGGAAAAGCATCTCCAGAAGTTGGTTTGCTGATGGACAATAAATTACCATTTGATTCATCCATTCTGACAATTTGACAGCATCAATTATACCAAATTAGAATATATCATAAAAAGCATTTAAGAAAATGCAGTTAGTTACCCTTTTGAGAGATTTGCACTGAAAGAAAAAGCAGGAAATCCATTTATTTTTAGGGAAAAAATGCAATTATCAATTGACACTTCCTGTTAATTCCTTGTAAGTAAATCCATATTGCCAGTCATATTTCCCAGGTTTCCAAAGAATTTTTCAAGTAACAAAATAGATTTGTATCTTCCAGCTAACACCACACTTATGAATATATCAGTACTTCTGCTTTGTCAGGAATGTAAGGACGTATGCATGTAGTAAGGAACATTTAAATTTCACAAGGTAAGCGTTTTGAGCAAGTGTTGAGGTAATCATGCATAGTTAAAGAACACTTGTTGATGCCTTCTCTAGCAACCTCCTCTTCTTCATCAAACTCTGCTAGTCTAATCAATGAATGCCTTCTCCAACAAACTCTTCTTCATCAAGCACCACCAACCACATCAATGCCTTCTCCAATGAGTTATCCTTGATGCCAACTCCTGGTGATTTTGGCTCAAGCTCAAGGCCACTAGTCAAGCTCAAGCTCGCTACTCTATAAGCGAGTTGAGCTCAAGTGCAAAGTATGACCTCGACTTGAGCTCGAACCTGAGTTCAAGCCTGATTTTAAATAGGAGAGTTGAGCTCAAATTAGTTGTTACTCAAGCTCGACTTAACTCGTTTATACACCTATGTGGGGCGCCTCAAGGCTATTGAGCAAAGTAACTCATGTGTTGAGGACAAGTTTTCAATTGCAAAATTGCACGTAGAGTCGCTAAATCAAAGTAAAGTGTTTTGTGTCAACGATGGTAGAAAGCATGCATCAATCTTACGGTTTCAAGACGAATTATACATGAACAATAGACTTCTACATCCTCTAGATAAGAAAAACAAAATAATTTCTAAGTAGATAATAATGAGAACTTAGATTCAAAAGTCTTCGAGTGAGGCAGGCTAGAGAGAAGAAGCTTGTTCCCCTTAAATTGTTTATTTTTAAGTGGTCAACTGAGAATGGAGTAGTCAATCATATTTCTTTTGGACAAGAGAGACAAAACTGAAATGACTACTAGTAATAAACAGTCACAGTGGTTGAGACATGTTGTAATAATGGAGGATAATTGTTGTCGGGCCCAAAGGACAGGAAAATTGGAGAGGAAGTGATAGTATTACATTAGTTGCTTATTCTTCAAGAACATAAAGCCAATCCTTTTCTCAGTCAATTCCAATAATATTCCTAATTCCATGCTCCTGAAACACTCAATAAGAGTAAAAACCTACAATACAATTTTGTGTCTTCAATGAGCTTTTGGAAGGACAATAGGTCGATAAATAATTTAGATGCACTACAAAATATTTTTGAAGAAAAGGGAATTGCATATAAAAACACTCTCTCATCCAGCCACGGTTGTCTTGGATCCATCAACAAGTGTAATTTTTCAGTTGCTAGAATAAGGGGGATAAGAGGTAAATATTTGTGAGTGGATCAAGTGATCAAAGGCTCGTAAGTCAATAACCTAGGAGTTAGGTGACAAATTATTTGAGACTTTAACAGCCGAGAGAAAGAAGATATACATAAAAAAAGGCCAAAGTGCAAGTATCTATAAATGTCTTCTCAAATGATCCCAAGAAGTTCTTCAATTTTTTTTAAAAATATCTTCCACATCAAATTCGAAGGAGGAATCATGGGGTTTTTCTTCCTCAACAAATTGTATCATATATGCATGCCCTTGATCCTCCTTTACCCATTTAATTTCTCCTGATGCTTGGATGCGGAGCTTTAATCATCCAACCTTTTTCTTAAGTATGACATGGTATTCTTTGCAAAAGGTTCATGATAGGGAGTCTTTGTCCATTGTTTAAACTGAATCTCCTTGCTCATTACCAGCATATGATGGTTGCTTCAACCCAAGATTTCTCAAATTTGTGGTTTTTAAAACAAGAGCTAAACTTTCCTTAGATGCTTGTTAATAATGACTCCAATTCGTCCTTCTTCTTGAACAATTGCATTAAATTAATTAAGTGAGGTTAGATCTTTGTTTCCAAGGACTTGTATTCTCATTAGATCAAACTCAATGTTTAGTTTAACAAGAAAATCATCTATTTTGACTATTTCAACTAATCTTTTTTATATAGATTTACATAGTTACTATAATTCTTTTTTATGCATTGATAGTGATCCATCTCTTTCCATATGCTTTTTAACAAAATTTGAATATTTGTAATTGATTTTACTCATTGCTAGGTGACAAGAATTTGCTTTACATCTCATAAATTTGTACCACATCAAAAACCTTTGAATATGTTTACTTCACAACCTCCCAAATCTCCTTTGTCATGATGAGAAGCATGAATGTATCACTAACCTCAGGTGCCAAGAAATTCCAAAGCCAAGGCAACACAATGGAGTTTTGTTTATCCTAGGCATCGAATTTAAAATATATTCCAATTACACTTTTCCCTTTAAGAAAGTATGGATAAATTGTTACTTCTTTAGATAGTGTTTTTTTTATTATTCTACCTATATGTTTCTTGGATATTCTGCAAATCCCTTGTTAAAACTTGGTTTTAGTTTTCAACACCAGGGACGGTAGAAATAGATGATTTATTGCTAGAATCAACACTTGAAGAAATCTCAATAGGAAGAAAGAAGACATTCTTTATACAGAAGACATCTCACGACAGAAGGAAGTAGAATTTTCCTAGACTCTGATACCATGTAACAAACTGCAATTAGTTTGCCTAGACTCTGATACCATGTAACAAACTGCAATTAGTTTTATTAACTTAATTACATAAGAATTTTATGCTTTGACAAATTTCAAACTAGGAAAACTACAATAATTACATGGTTTATTCTCTATTTTGACATTTACATATTTACAACAGCATTCACAACATTATGGAAACTTTGTATAGCTAGAATTATTTGTAAAAAAAAAAAGAAAACCACATAAGCAACAAAAAAATTTGACGGCATTTAATTTTAAAAAAATTGGGATATCTTTAGAAAAAGTGGTCATTATGGGTCTCAAATGATGAGGACATCGACAGACGCTACCGACATGTTTATCGACGGCAGAATCGCAGATCGATGGCCACGATTCAGCGCCTCTACTTTTGATTTAGATGTCATGATGCATTATTTAGCATTTACTGTTTTTCCGTTTTTACCCCTGTGGGGAGTTGCTTTGTTATTGTAGCCCAGAGGGCAATTTCGTACCTTTTTTTTCATGAGTTGAGACCTATATATAGTGGTCTCATATGTTGTATTTGGGTTAATGAATATTTGGAATGAAATCTTGTTTTGTTATCTTTTTCTTCTTCTTCTTGTGGTGCACTAGAGAGGAGAACGAGAGCCCAAGGTGAGGGCAAAAGGGCAAAAGCAATACCCACCAGTCATTGGAAGAGTCCGTGACTCGTGGTCTATCCCCATCATCCCGATCCCCTTCATCTCTCCAACCCGCTGGCCCTAGTCATCTCTTGGCCGCCGACCACCCCACCTCCTCCACCTGTTCCCAAGCCTCTCCACCGCCGGCCTCCTCCCCCATCCCCCACTTGTTTGAATTTTGAAAATTCAAAATTGATTGAGTACTAAAATTTCCAAATTTGGCAAAGTCAAATTATGGAAGTTTTCAAAATTCAGATCAATTTGAAATTCAAATTGAAGTGGATCGCATGATTAAGCCTTCTAATGCTAACGAGCTAATTTTCGCAAACCACAAGTGCTCTCCCTCTCCACCTCTTTCCCCTCTTCTCATTGGAGTTCTCTCACAACGTCAAGCATGCATGGCGGATCCCGAACTTGAATGGGGACTTGTGTTCGACAACGACAGTAATCTCAACATACTACGATCTCCATTCTTCGACGTGGGATTTGAGCACGACGCCACCATTGAAGATTATTTGGAGCGAGTTGTCCCTACTCTTGCGCACGTCATCCCATCAATTTTCCGACTACGATTGGATCATCGTCGGCCACCCACCACCCTCATCTCCACCGGCTACCTCTCCGCCAACGAAGTTCTTCGGCACCGTCTTTCTAGTGGTAATATCTTTCATTATATGGTTCATCTTTCTCCGCTAAAAGCCTACAAAAATTTGAGTGAGAAGGCACTTGAGGTGAACCTCTCATTGTTAAGCGTTGGATTATGTGATTTGTACTTTGCATTTAATAGTACCTTGAACTTTGAAAGAATAGTTTTGGTTATTCTCTATTGCACGTCTTTGGCCTAAGCAAGTTAAATATTTCAAATTCTTAACTCTCTTTTACGTGCTAGAATTAAATTTAAATGAGCACACCTTTCTTTCTAATTTCTAAATGTAAATCTTAGTAGTTTCACATCATTAAAGCCCCTTGAATTGCTTTGAGATTAACGTAGTAATTAATTATATATGTATTACACTCATATCAAAGTAAATCCAAAAAAATTTAGACCTATCCTGCAAGATATATTGAGATAGTTTTTTCCCATTTACTTGTTGCAGAAATCTGATAATTCCAAAAATCTATAATTATTGCCTTGGCATATTAAGGGGCCAGTTGGAGCAACCCAAGATAGTATGAAAGGGTTGAATTTCTAACACAATAATAATGGCAACCAAATAAATAATAAAAAAAAAACAGTTTAAAAAATTAAAACAATCAGCAGAACTTTCTGCCTAAGCGGTCTACATTATCTCGGTGCATGCATCATTACAAAAGTTTCTCAAGCATTTTTTTAAATTAGGGATTTATTTTTGAATCAGTTATAATTGTTCATAACATTGTATGAAGAAAATTGCTCCCGCAACACAATACATAGTTCATAAATAAAATTTTGTACAGGCATGCGTTTTCAGAATTGCCCACATCGCAAATTTTGCAGGACAGCTACATTTAGTTGGCAATAAACAGATGGGCATATACAACCCATATGTAAAGAAACTATGCAATGTTTTCGTTCTTTGTGTTAAAATGGGATCTTTCCCATCATAAGAATATTTGACAAATTTCATGAGAATCTTTTGTATAGAAAACTTACCTTTTATCACGTAGTAAAAGTGTTTCTTCCCACACCGAGTTGCAGTAAGAATTACCCAAAGCTTGAAATAAATCAATGATGATTGGTTCCCAGACTTTTACATCTAACATAAGAGATCTGACCTAAATTCATCATGAATAACTTTTATTAAATATTAAATAATATAATTATAAGGAAATTCCTCAAAGCTGCAGGAATAGTCCATCTACTAGCGAAATCCAACAAGAATTAAAATAAACTATTCATGCCAAAGAAAAAACTTTAAGATGGATATACTACAGAACTACGAAAGTGAAATGAAGAGTAACAGTGAGAATATAGCTTATTGAATATAAGTTTGTGAAATATAGATTTTTAGGTGGTTCGGAAATATAAAACATAGGTGAGGCAATACAGTAATAAGTGAACAAATAAAATTAATGAGAAAGAATTACGAAGGGAAAGTGGAAAATCAGGGCAACATGTACAGAAGCTTTGCAATATAGAGTTAACGCCATATAATCAACACTACTGAAATGTAAGATGATGTCCATTTACCTTCTAGAAAAGAAACAAATATATACCCTAGCAAATGATCCGCTCTGATCAAGTTAGAAAACCAATGCTGCAATACTAAAATTTTATACCCCATTTTTTACATCTAATGAAAAATGATAAATACTATTATCATAAAATCCTATATTTTGTGAGGTTCACTTTGTCTGGCTTGACTATTTTGCTTTAAAGAAGATTTTTTTTTTTATGTTTGAAGAGGTTGCTTTAGTACAAGAAATCTTTTTAGTTGTTGAAAATTCAAAGCTAGTTGAAAGGCCTATTTAAGTGAGTTAGCATAATAAAGAGTTCCGTCATTTTTTAGTTCAAGTTTGAATCCAATCATACATCTCAACAATGCAACTTTCAAGTCATCCCTATTTCTGAATGAAATGAAAATTCTTCGAATTTGTTCATGTAATACGTCACAGTCTTAATTCCATGTTAATGTTAAATTAAATGTATCGAGCAATCTATCTCATAAAGATATAGTTAAATATAGTGTCTTATTCTCAAACCCAATCTGCCTTCTGAAAATTCCCCCGGGATCACACATCCCTAAAATGGAATTTTCGGAGCCCACAGGTTCCAACCCTGAATGTTCTCTTTTTCATTTTCAGCACCTATCCAATACATTTTTCTTAGCTAGTAAATTTTAAATTTATAAATATAACTTGTCGTTCTATGGACATCATTTGTCATTCGAAGAAATTATTCATATGGATTAACCAATCAGAGGATGCCATCAATCATAAGTATAAGCATGAACTTTAATCTTCATAGTTATTTTCTCATCAATATCACTAGATTTTCGATGATAGCTATCATAATTTTTATCAACAATTCCTTATAATGTTTAACGTTATTATTTTTTTCATAAAGACCTTAGGGGTTTGCATATCTCCTACCGAGATTATGATTGGCTTCTTCATTTAGGTAGACTCATTATCAAGTTCTTAGGCCGAGTTTTCAATTTTTCAAATCGCTCGTTAATTTGATATTATGGAGGTGCTTGATTGGCCTTGTTAACTTAATAAATCTTTTATGTGTCCCAAAACAAAAAATTACAATGTGGATTATTAAAGCATATATATAGCAAAAAGTTTCCTTAAAAGGAATGTTTTTTATTCTTTCCATAAGTTATGAATCAGGTCCTCACTTTAAGTAAAATCCTACCACATATATGATTTGTTATGATCCCTATTGCACATGCAAAACTAGCTACTAAATAATTTCAGAGACAACAAAAATGATAAAAATCACCCCAGTGGGAAGAACTAGACCTCATGCTAGCAAAAAGAATATTATCCTGTAGGTAGTCGTCTAAATCTATGAAGCACTTGAAAAATCCACATTAAACAAGCAAATGCAGAAGGAAGAGAAATTTTGAAATTTTATTTAAATATTCATAGCTTAATGATTTTTTCATGTCATGTCTAGAGGGCATTAAAGGATGTGCACATAAAAGGTGCAGAACTATAGCCGTAATATTGGGAAGTGATGAAGGCAGCATAGTACCCCAATGTGAATGGTAGAAAAATGTAATATGAACTAAGATGACACCTTACATAGGTAAGAAACCAACAAGCCTGGTAGGGAAAACAACTAGCGGGAATATGGACGTTTGCATCACATGATACCAGCACAGTGAGGAAATAACAATGAATATCAATTAGCAATTACTGTTCCTGAACTCCATAGGAGTTGATTGGAATTCCATAGACTAACTTGAGCTGACATCATAGGCATTTTTTACGCAAAAAAACCTAGGGTTGTCTAGTAGAACGTTTAGTAAAGTATTGCATTAAATTTCCCTGTATTTCAATTTGTTGGGCGTTTGGTATTAACTAAAAAAATATAAAGTAAAAATTTTGAGAGATTTAAAATATCTCAAAATCTATATTTTCTCTAAATTAAAAAATCACCCAAATCAAGGGATTTCCAAATCCCAAACAACATTAGCTCACGACTCGTGCCTATTGTCATTGTCGTCACCATCGCTTGCCCTGCTGCCTATCATAGCCTGCTGACAAACAGGTAATATCGTTTAATATATGTTCAAATTAGAAATATTTGTTTTAGTAGACCCTTCAGTTATATGTTCAATATTAGTCTGTTGAGTATTTTCTGTTATTGAAAAAACTGTATTAACCGTCTGACCATTTGTTCCCGCCTCGTTAATTCAAAACTTTGGGCCGGATCATGACACAAGTTTTACACATAATGAACTAAAAGAAAATAAAATACACAGATAAAACCCTTAAAGATCATCACTTTCTACGTTTTCGGCACCAATAAATTTTCATAATTCCATAACCTACCTCCCCCTACTCAATTCTCCACCCTCTTAAGTAACTATGACTTTTTTTAACAACATATCTCAAAACATAGAAAAAAATAATGTTATGGTTCTATAATTTATTACTCATAATCAACATGGAATATCCATGGTAAAAATAATCACATTGCATTTTCAGAACATCTCACCTTTGATATATGTACACCAAGATTTCTGTGAACCCCTGAACATTCAATACATATAAGGATTCCAAGATTCAATGAAGCCCAGTCAGGTTCAGGAGAACCACATTCTGCACAAGAATCATTTCCTGGAATGTATCTAAGAATCTTAGACACATGATCATATTCCATGGTATTCATGCTACCATCCAGCAATGAAACTTGACAGCTGTCAGAGAACTTGCTGTTTTGTGTATTGATACTTCCCATCGAAAGCTGAGTAAAAAGGAATAAGTAAAATATTCAAGATGTATCTATAAATAGAAAGTAGATCATAAAGCTCGTTGGGGTCCAGTTCAAGTTTAAAAGGTAACTTGATGTGCAACCAGTAGTTGGTTTGATAAAAAGCAAAACAAGCATATAACCTGAGTAAAGGCCTGAAATCAAATACTATTTGCAACTTGGTCAACCGAACTTGAGCACAGGCATCCATAAGAACTAAAATATAACAAAAACCTATAATATTGGAAGACAAATTTAGTAGAGAACCTGCTTTGTCAATGAAGAATTCAGAAGTGATGCAATGACTCCTTTTATCTTATCAACCCAGTCCAACCTATCTGCTTCACTTTCTGCCTGTGTGCGAGAAATGGTGGTATAAACATCAAAGTGTTAGATTAAAATGGGCACCATGCACAAACAAAATGATAGATGCTGACATCCCATTCTAACTTAACTACAAAGGTACATATATAAAAAATCCAAAAATCAAGCTACCTGGAAGGTGTATGTATTCAGTGGTGAAATTATTCTGAAGCAAAATCTCAGATATGTTTGTTCAGCATCAATCTTAATTGTTGAAGTATGAAGATCTACTGTACGACAGCCTATGTTATCTCCAACCTGAGAAGTTCTTAGTTTAAGAATAAAGTACAGACTACAATAAAATATAGATTAATTCTCAGGGCCCTTTCCATAAAAGGATACAAGCAAATGAATGGAAAAAAAAACAAAACTAAAATCCAGATATGTAACAGATAAAACTCAAGAAGTCAAAGACCCCACGGTAATTCATGTGTTGAGGGAACTTAAGAAGTATCGAGAGAGTAAAGTCAATTCTCAAAAGAATTAAGAAGAAGCATATATGTAGGCCTAGATAGTTTGGTTAAGGCAGATATTGTTGTCAATTATGATGATTGGTATGATTGCACTATGAAAATCCTCACCCAGCTCTGTTCACATACAAGTATTCCGGATTAATTTTTGAGAAGGCAGAGTAAAAATCAAATAAGAGAATACATAGATTTTTCTCTCAAGTGAGGACTTTATAATCTAGGTAGAAGTTTACATTGATATAAGTTCCTATTGTTACTTACCCCTCTCAATCATGTGGGAGAACTTTCAATTTGCATTGAGAAAAGAATGTACCAATTTCCTCAAACTGGATGGTGGGCCTGTGATGATAAACCGAGTCACAATATTATTGTTTGATCGTCCTAGGTTATCATGCACCTCGATCTTCTTGTACAACTGAGGTAATCAAAGTAATCAACCCAACCTAAAAAATATCTTTGTCAGCAACCACAGGTTACATAATTCAAGGAAATCTCATAAGAGCTACGGTGAAATGTTGCGGTCCAATTTTAATCCAACCTTAGCAAATAAAGGGCTTTATGTTTTATCAGCTAAATTTTATGGCTCACAACTCATAGACCTAATAAATCATGGGGTATTTGCAATCAGGCTAACCAACCAATAATGGGAAATGTTCAAATTACTTGCTAGCATAAAATTCTTGAGCATAATCATATGGATACATTTACATGACATTGGGCCATTGTGAGGGTAGACTGAAACTTTAATTTGTCATAACAACCAGACGTATATACAGAGTATGAATGGACATTTTAGAAAAGCGGGTGGTCATTGCTAGATCAAGTTCCTTTTGGTTATGATTTTATTTTTATGCACCCATTATTAGGAATGGAGTCCAAAGTGTACATTTTACTTGAATTTGATAAGGATTTTTAATGATTGGATCCCCTTCGATTTTCTAATAATCATGCTCATCATAAAGAAAAATCTCAAAGCATTTATCTTTATCATCGAAAGCTTGATTTAGCTGTGAGGTCCCTTCGATTATGATGTTCTGATAAAGAAATCTATCATAGAGAAAAGGCTTGAAGTATTATACTTGTAATTAGGAAAATGATATTAAGTTGCAATGGCTCCAATTATGATATCTATATGCCGACCCCATTATCATGGCAAGAATCTCGAAATTTAGAGTTGAAACTCTGTTAGGTTGTTATATTCAGTGCAATCAAAGCTTCTTGAGCAAGTATAAAGTCCTCTTTGCATTGTAGAGGCTTGTTGAACAAGAGACACTTTAAAGCACCAGTTCTACCATTAGGCATGTTAAGCGAGGCATAACCTGCATGGTCATCTTGTGGCTCATCAACCAGGAAGATTGTCAAAAACCTCAAAAGCTCAACCATCTTTATTACACTTAGGCCTAGCTAGTAGACTAGTTGTTCGCTCAAGAAAAAATGGCTCTCATGCACGAATCCTACCTTTTAGGCTTAGGATTCCATTTTCCTTAAGGTAGATTGATTTTTCATTAATCAGATTTCCCCCATGTTTATATCAAGGTTTATTTAAATCTAGGATACTGACTTCTTATGAGCGCAAGCCCTCATAGTTAATTGTCCCTCCCACTTCTTGAGAGAGCACTCTCAATTAAGGATGAATCATTTTAGCATAGTTTTAAAATTTTAAGTTCAATAGTATTGCTTATTGGGGGAAAGAGGTAGACCTAATCAAGATCTCATAATTTCTTCATCCTAGGAATACCATAGATCTATGTTTACCAACATCAATGAACTATTGGTTGTGGTTCTAGTGTCCAGGGAATCTGATTCGAAGTCATGGGTTGCCTCCTCTTAAGGATCTCGAGTAAACTGAGGTGGTTAGATGTTGGCTTTGGTTTTGTTGTGTTGTAGTTTAAGTTTGGGGCATCTATCTGTTAGAATGTCCATTAGTTTGTTTAGTTTGGGGCTTGTGACATCTTCTAGGAGTTGCCCATTAGTTTTAATTGAGATGAGGCTTATAGCTCTGCTTAGGAGTTACCCAACAATTTAGTGTATTAAGGATGAAGATCAAAAAGTACTTTTCTTAGAAGATGATATTCAACAAAGGTGAATGGGTATTTTGCTAAAATTTTTAATGAAGAATGTGAAAATATGATTGACTTTAGTGACTTTCTCACCCTAAATGAAAATAAAGATTTTTGTTTTTATCGGCGTATAAGTAAAACCGAAGTTAGAGAAGCTTTAAAGAAAATGAAGTGTGGAAAAGCTGTTAGACCTGATGATATTCCAATCGAGATGTGGAAATGCTTAGTAGATGAAGGAATTTCTTGGCTTGCTAAACTTTTTAATACTATTTTGAAGACTAAAAAGATGCCAGATCAGTGGAGAATGAGTGTGTTAATTCCTATTTTTAAGAATAAAGGTGATGCACATGAGTGTGCGAATTATAGAGGAATTAAGTTAATGTGTCATACTTTAAAACTATGGGAGCGAGTTATGGAGCATAGGTTGAGGTATTAGATTTGGCTTATGTTAAGAAAGGTAGAGGTAGACCTAAAAAGACTTGGTTAGAAAATATTAGAAATGATCTTTCTTTATTAGATTTAGATAAGAATTTGACTTTTAACCGGACACAATGGCGAAAAAGTATTCATGTAGCTGACCACACGTAGTGGGACAAAGGCTTGATATTGTTGTTGTAAAGATGGCGCTTATTGCTTTGTTTAGGAGTTTCCGAGATTTTAACTTAGAATAGGACATATGGCTTAATTAGAAGTTGCCTAATCACTTAATTTGAGATAGACTTATTGCTTCGATTATAAGTAGCCTAATTATTTAGTTTGAGATGAGGCTTACAGCTTTGATTAGAACAGGCCTGATTATTTAGTTTGAGATAAGGCTTATTCCTGCAATTAGAATGGACATGATTATTTAGTTTGAGATAGGGCTAACTGTTTCAATTAGAAGTGGCTTGTTAGATTAATTTAGAGTTTATTACTTTACTTAGAAGCTCTTTAATGAATTAGTTAAGAATAGGACTTATTCCTTCAATTAAAAGTTGCCTAGAAATTTGGTTTAGAATTTGGGGTTAGTTGCAAGATTTAAGGTTTGTTACCTCAAGTAGAGGTTTCCCTCACGCACTTTTTAGGATAGGACTTATGACTTTCCTTAGAAGTTGTCTAATAATTTAGTTTAGAATAGGCCATATGACTTCAATTAGAAGTTGTCTAACGATTTGACTTAGGATAGGGCTTATTGCTTCAATTAGACGTTGCCTAAGAATTTTGATTTGATCTTGGAAACAATTACTTAGTTTTTTGCACTTTTCTTTTGCTCTAGTATCTTTGCTTTTTGCAGTATCTAATTTTTAATTGTTTATTTCCTTGCAAGTATTGAAGCTCAAGCCAATTGAAAGTTTGTTTGAGTATTTTTTTTAATGCTTGATGTAATTGGATAATTTTAAAATAGAGTATTTAGTGAAAGCACCCTCTTTAGTTTTTTTTTAATTGATTAAGTAATTAATTAAAAGAAAACTTTAATTAAATAATTTATTTATTTATTTATTTATTTGATAAATAATTAAAATTTAATAAGCTCTTGTTTTTTTTTAATGTGCAATTAGTCAATTTGTTAAAGTGGCTTTCCCTTCTTAATAAAGTGGCTCTTCTCCTCTTCCCTCAAATTATTATTATTATTATTTTAATTAGTAATAATTAAAACTAAAAAAGAAAATATTTTAAATTCAAATATTTTTTTCATCTTTTTTGTCTTTTTTTTTTCTAAGTGTTTTCTCGAAAATTCAATAGCCTCCCAACGTTCCCTCCCTGCATAGGGAGGTGATGGGACGACACTAGCTGCTATTCATTCAAGCCAGAACAAACATATGATGGCGTGAGGGCTTTAAATTGATTTATTCCTAGCCCGATCAAAGATACGATGGTGTAGGTCTTCAAATTCTTCAAGTGCACAAAATCTATCAATTGTGAAATTTGGTTAATTAGAAGAAAATCGCCAATTACTTAAATGAGACGGATCGGACCTGGTGATACGTGAATGGGTCGGAGGTAGATCGTGTGCCTACGGTAATGAGCAAGAGCGGATAGGACGAGTTAGGATGCGGGACGGGCACATGATTGCACGTGGGCATGGGAGCAGACTTGCAAGTCGAAGGACACAGGAGTGCGGGAGCAGTTGGGCGGGCTTGTGACTTGTGCAGGGGCACGAGCTGCACTAGGTGGGGCACGTGCGGAGCAAACCCTGGTAGGAGGCTGGCCACATGGGTAGAGCTAGTTGCTTGGAAGCTTGGCCGAGGGAGCGAGAGGCAAGCAGGCAGAGTGAGCAAATGGAATTGTAAGCATAAAAAAAAATGAAAGCCAATTTTTTTTTGTCTGTTTTTTTCTTTGTTTTGTAAAGGCTTGATGTGTGTTAAGAAAGGTAGGGGTAGACCTAAAAAGACTTGGTTAGAAAATATTAGGAATGACCTTTCTTTATTAGATTTAAATGAGAATTTGACTTTTAATAGGACACAATGGAGAAAAAGGATTCATGTAGCCGACCCCACGTAGTGGGATAAAGGCTTGATTTTGTTGTTGTTGTTGTAAAACTAAACGGTTACCTCATTTTGTGAAAGAAGGCATCCCTTCAATTTTTTTTACCTTCTCTTTTTTCTTTTTTTCTTTTTTCTTTTTCTTTTCTTTTTTTTTTAATTCAACACTAGCCTTTCTTTGACTTTTTTTAACTCAACTTATTATGATTTTACAAGCTTTTAAATCCTTTTTTTTTCAATTATCAAAGCTTTAAAAGCAAATCCATAGAGTTTTCTTGTTGAATGATTGTTCACCATTAAAGGCCTTATAGAGACAAATTGACCCACATCTTTGTAAAACCCCTGAGTACATGAGAGAGTAGATTGTTCAACTTGGCGAGGATAATTTATAATTATTCTATAGCAATTTTGACAATGGTCAGAATAAGAACCCTCTAAACTCATTTTGAGGATCAAACCTTGGCAGACATTGTATTCTCCCCAATATTTATTCACCACTCACATTTTTTCAAATTTCAAGTATTCACATAAATTATACTCAGTGGAAAAAAAAAGAAATTGTATGCTTCAAAACAATCGTGAGAAATTACGAGGCACTAAACATGGCTTCTAGAATTTTTTGAAACCATATAGAATTTTTTGTATTTCTTTGATTTTTCTTTTTTTATTTGTCCTGGCTTCTTTTGTGCCTGTGAGGGGAGGGGTATTTTGCACTCTTTTACCTTCTTTTTTTTAATTATTATTATTTTCATATTTTCTTCATAAATTTTCATTTAACTCGTTTTAGACTTCTGAGGCGATTGAAATACATGAGGACACAAAATCAACAAATATCAAAACTGAAAATAATTTCAAACACTTTTTATGGTGGATTTCACTTAAATGATTCACATCAAAAAGTATACATTACAGGCTCTAGAATGCACTTTCACTTGCAGTAGATTTTCATTGAAAGACTTGCATGCCATTTTAGAGTAATTTAAAGACCGTCAAAAAAGCAGGTGTAAAGTGTTTTTGCATGCTCTTTAATGCACCATATGCACTCTTTTCAATGCATTATGTTGTTCATTCAAGTCTCCAAGTACACTAATGCTCGCACCCTTAGCAATGAACTTATCAAAGTTCATGCAGCAATATTTTTTTATATTTATGTTTACGCACTTTCCCAAATCAGCTTTTTTTCCTTTTTGTTTGAGAAATTGCATTTGAAATTGTGTTTTTTCTTTCTTTCTTTCTTTCTTTTTTTCATCATTCTTTTTTAGATTCAAATGCTTCCATGCAACTCCAACAATAAGGGTGATGAAAAACATGTAGGGCCCACCCAACTACCATGTCAAGAAAGATGTATATAGGACACCACAGGGATAAATCCAATCGACTACACTAATAAAGGAGTTTATGACATCGACTTAAGTATTTTTCATGCGTGCACACCCAAACTAGCTATGACATAGTCCTCATACCATTGAAAAAAAAAATGATGAGAACAAATTACAAGTGAATATGCAGAAAAAATCCCTAGCAAACTTCATCAAAACAAATGCTGCAGTAGAATCATAAAAGTTAAAATGTTAATGCACAATCATGAAAAGTCAAAGGACGTTAAAAGTCATACAAGGCAATAAATAATGCAAAAAACAATCTCTCCCACTTCAAGTTCAACATAAACAAGTAGTCTAAGGTCATAATTTATGAATTTAAAAGTCTTCCACACTCACATCAGAAAGGATATTCATTAGAATCATCATTGTTGTTAACTGTTTTCTCTCCTGCCTCACACAAAAAAAAAAGGTTACCAACTACAAGCAAAGAAGCATGGGAGGAGACACAGTGGTGGTGCACAAAGGCAGTGGCACAACAACGACGATGACAATAGGATTTGGTATAAATGTAAGTCTCCAATGATTGTGAGTTTGGGATCATATGATTCTTCTCAAGTTCGGTTTGATTTCAATATAGTAAATAGGATTCTTCTAGAGTATTCTCAAGTGTGAAGCATATGCCTCATTGCCCTTTTTTTAATTGCATTGAAATGAGTTTCGAGGCAAGTCTCTACTTGCACCAATGGCTACACATCAAGTATAACCCAAATCAGCGTGGAAAAAAAATATGTCATGGAAGGCAGAAACATAACATTATCACATGATTATACTCTGAGAATATAAGTACTTGAAGTAATATACAATCAGATCTAAAACTGATCCTGACAATCAATATGAAGATGTCAGAAGTATAATCAGGATTGAAGATTAGATGATAAAATATATTAAATTATATAGGATACCGGCTGTTTACTGTGCTTGTTTCTGTAGTAGTACAATCTGCCATGACTATCGAGTACAAAAAACCTTCTTTTCCATTCTCCTCTCAAACCAGATGAGCGTTTAAGAAGATATCCTTGTTTTATTGTTTGAACCTGGATCATGAAAGAATGGTAAGAGCACACTTGCAAACCAATTAAGAAGCAACAAATCTCAAGTGAAGAAGAAGAGTTGCCAATGTGATAAACCAGATACGTAATGCCTTGAAAGATGAGAAAATTTATAACAAATAAAAAAGAAGCAGTTAATGCTAATTCAGAACAATCAATACCGGTCCATTTGCAGCAGATTGCATTAGAGCTTCTATATTCTTGTATGAATTACTACCAACAAAAAGAGTACCATCACTACTCGTTGAGGTTTCTGCATGACTTAATGCTCTTAAGCTAGCCAGTTCAGCCTGAGTCCTGAACTCCTGAATCCTTCTTTCAAGTTTGTCCTGTTCAGCATTGGCCATTTCCTTTGATTGTTGTGCATATGCTAAAACCTGCTTGCAGACCAAGAAATTTTTTTTGACATGAGCTAGGCAATCATGTGACTCCAACAAAATGTATATTTTACCTGATGGATAAAAGGCTCCAAGTGGTTCAACAATTCATACCCCTGGACCATGAAATGACATTAAAGTAAGATAAACCAAATATTGCAAATCAAAGTAAAACATTCAGCGTTGAACAAACAAAAACCTGCTTAAAGTATCTCAGATGAGCATCCATTATTGCACTAATAGATTCCAGGAATTCATACTTTTTCTTTGCGTCAAAATTAGCAAGAGCATTAACCTGAATCCCTTGAAACACACAAATTCAAAACAAAAAATCGGCATAATAAATTAAAATATTAAAACATTCATGATTCCTTATAATGCAAAAACTGAAGATAGAAACATACTAGGTTAAGTCGACATCTTTCGAAAGAAGATTTTGAGTTGTGAAGATTCTGAAAGTGGAAAGAAAAAGGACCATATCAACCAATAAATTAGATGCTACATAAAATATGCCAATTTTTTTCTATGAAAAATCAATCTTGATAAGGATTTACCTCCTCCAGTTCAGCAACGACGTCTTTTTTAGTGCCCTTTTTAAGAGACATGAATTTATCACGTGCCTAAAAAAATCTAATTTATGTAAGCAACTGATGGCCCAAATGTTGCAGTATAAAGAAAAACAAGAAGGATAATTATTTGAATCAAAGAAGTTATGTAAGGCATCAAGGTATCAGGAATAACCAGAATCCAAAACCGTCACAAACTCCCACAAAGAATAAAATTTAAGCAAAGTATAAATCAGAAAAAAGAAAAAACCAGACGTAAATGGTTCCATTGAGAAGTCCAACAACTTTAAAAGGGTTGGTCAAAAATATATTAATATTGAAGCTGAAATCTGATGTAAATATATTTAATAAATTTTAATTAGGAGAAAAAGTTCAAAACAATCCACCGACCATTCATACATGGTCAATTTAGTAACAAAGCATCACATTTCTCAAATTTAGTTTATCAACTATAAATTGATCTCAAATGGTCCCCTAGGTAGAAAATTATGGAAATTGGGATACAAAAATAATCTCAATTTATTCCCTCGACTATCATTTGGGACCAATTTTATAAAGCTAGGGGACTAAATTGGATAAATATGATATTGTACGATTAAATTAACCACATATGAATAATCGGCATATAATATCTAGAATAATCTTAAAATTCATCATGTCTTACACTTGGTCAGTACTTACATGCAGTAGACAAACAAATTAGCATGCCCATTGAAAAACAAAAAAAATCCGAAAAACAAAAAAAATAGTATTTAATTTCAAAAGTACACACGTCTCCTGTACACATGCCCATTGAAAAACAAAAAAAAAATCAGAAAAAAGACCCGTCGTATTTACTTGTGCGGCTGCGAGCGAGATTCTCTCATTTCCGAGATGGATTTGAGTGACACCGGAGTGTCCCCTGCTTCAGTCCCACCGCCTCCTCTATTTTTGTTTCCCTTAATTCATTTCTTTTCTTTGTAATATTCGTTTGTTTCATATGATTACGCATGTTGCTTTCCTGTAGCTGAGTATATTTCCAGCGGCTATAAAGCCTATTCAAATAAAGGCGGGAGGTAGATTTTTGGAGATCAAACAAACCCTGTTCATTCTTTATGAATTTTTCTGTATCCTGTAGGAGTACATGTGGTGATCGGAGTTCGACAAAGGAGTAGTAATCTTCCGTTGAGCTCTCGGGAGAAGGTAAGCTTTGCTTCTGTCTCCTAAATCGCAAGCTGTTCGTTCGTCGTCTTACCAGCCGGTGTCAAATTGGTATCAGAGCCGGCAAAGATGCTGCATCGACGAAATCCCCAGCGTCCGACGAGAGACGTGATTATCGAAGATTTGCAAAGAGAAATTCATCAACTCCAGCAAAAATTGGCTAGGTTCGAACAAAGGGAACCAGATCAAGAAGTTCAAGAAGAAGAAGAGGAGGTGAATCCTTTTCATCAAGATTCTCACAGTGAGGAAGAAGAAAGGAGAACGATGCAAGGGCGTGTACATCGTTACAGAGATGATGCTGGATTAAAGATAGATCTACCTGACTTTGATGGACGGTTAGATCCTGATGAGTTTGTCAATTGGATATATACAGTAGAACGAATCATTGAATTTAAGGAGATTCTGCAAGATCGAGTTGTCAAGATCGTTGCGATCAAGTTAAAAAAAAGTGCTTCTCTGTGGTGGGAAAACTTAAAGCGTAGCAGAATTCGTGAAGGCCGTAGCAAGATTACCACTTGGAGTAAAATGAAGAAGGAGCTTCAACGAAAATACCTACCGGAGAGATATCGACAAGAGCTGTTCTTGAAGCTTCATCGACTACAACAGAATCAGTCATCGGTCGAAGAGTACATTGCAGAATTTGAACAGTTATCACTTCAATGTGGTTTATCTGAACCCGAAGAAAACACGATCTCTCGATTCATGGAAGGACTACAAACCACAATCGCCAATGTAGTCCAATTACAGCCTTACTGGACTTTACAAGATGTCTTTAATCTTGCTATCAAACTGGAAAAACAACAAAAATCTAACAGATGGAATCGTGGAAAGACAATGGCTTCAGAGAACCTAGTGGAAAAATCACATCTCAAGAAGACAGATGGGAAATCGACAGTGATAGCTACCGGAAGCAAGGAGGGCAAAAAATCTTTTAATGGGATACCAAGAAATACTGGGACGAACACTTTGGCGCCAAGAAAGTGCTTTAAATGTCAAGGATTTGGACATATAGCTTCAGGATGTCCCAATCGAAGAGTTATTACTATACTAGAAGACATAGATCTTGATCAAGAAATGGTGGATGAAACTATTTTGGTAGATAATCAGTTGTCCGAAGAACCTGAAACTACGGTTATCTCCGCCGATGAAGGTAGCCTACTTGTTCTTCGCAGGGTGCTTAGTTCCCAGAGGGATGATACGTGTCAAAGACATCGGATTTTTCAAACGAGATGTACTGTAGGCGGGAAGGTATGTCAAATGATTATTGACAGCAGAAGTTGTGAGAATGTGGTATCTACTACTATGGTGGAGAAATTGGGTTTGTCCACCGAAACTCATGCCAAACCATACACCCTTTCTTGGATCCGGAAGGAAAATGAAGTCAGAGTCACGAAGAGATGTCTTGTTAACTTCTCCATTGGAAAGTTTGAAGATCAAGTTTGGTGTGATGTCGTCCCGATGGATGCTTGTCATCTTTTATTAGGATGGCCTTGGCAATTTGACAGGAAGACAGTACATGATGGAGAATCGAACACTTAATTACTCGTTCAAACATCAGAACAGGAAAATTGTGCTGGTTCCTATTAGCGAGGGGCAGTCCACAGAAAGTAATCCATAGCTACTCACAAGGTCCATGTTCTTGAAGACTCTCAAAGAGGAGGGAATTGGTCTACTTCTGGTTGTTCTTTTCAACAATAATACAGTCGATAATTATAACAGTGAGGTCCAGGATATTCTTGAGGAGTTTGCGGATGTAATGGCCGATGTGCTCCCTTCTAAGTTGCCCCCCGAGAGACAGATTCAACACGCTGTTGAATTTGTACCTGGAGCTGTCATTCCTAACCGACCTGCTTACAGGTTGCGACCAGATGAACAAGCAGAGCTCAAACGTCAAGTGCAGGAGCTATTACACAAAGGATTTGTGCGGCATAGTGTGAGTCCTTGTGCTGTCCCCGCGTTATTAGTTCCTAAGAAGGACGGGACTTACAAAATGTGTATAGACAGCCGGGCTGTCAACAAAATTACTGTCAAATACTGGTTCCCCATTCCCCGCATTGATGACCTGTTCGACCAGTTGCAGGGAGCTACAATCTTCTCCAAGATCGATTTGAGAAGTGGATATCACCAGATCAGAATGAAGATGGGAGACGAGTGGAAGACTGCGTTTAAAACGCATGAAGGCCTATATGAATGGTTGGTGATGCCATTCGGCTTAACCAATGCCCCCAGCACATTCATGAGGCTAATGAATCATGTTCTACAACCTTTTCTCTACAAGTTTGTGATCGCTTACTTTGATGATGTACTCATCTACAGCACTGATCTTCAGGAACACCGAATTCACCTTCGAAGTGTGTTTATGGTCCTACGAGAACAACAGCTGTTTGCGAACAGAGACAAGTGTCAGTTTGCTGTGACTGAGATATCCTTTCTAGGATATAAATTATCAGCTAAAGGATTGCGGGCTGGGAAAAGATTGAAGCCGTGCGTAGTTGGCCTGTTCCGCAGTCCTTCACAGATATCAGACGATTCCATGGACTCGCTTCATTCTACGTAGATTTATAAAGGGCTTCAGTACAGTGGCTGCTCCCATGACTGAACTTTTAAAATCTGATCGTTTTGAATGGACGGAGGAAGCTCAAACGAGTTTTGACACTTTGAAGAAGCACTTATCATCAGCTCCTACGCTAGTCCTTCCCAATTTCTCTCAGGCATTTGAAGTAAAGTGTGATGCTTCTAACCTGAGAGTAGGTGCTGTGCTCACTCAAGGTGGTCACCCCGTGGCCTACTTCAGTGAGAAGTTAAGTGAAGCTCGTCGGAAGTATTCAACTTATGATAAAGAGTTTTACGCCATCGTTAGATCTCTACAGCATTGGAACCATTATTTGCTTGCGAATGAATTCGTATTATACTCAGATCATGAAGCCTTGAGGTACCTAAATCATCAAAAAAAATTGAAGGCATGGCATGCTCAGTGGTCAGAATTCCTGTCCTCATTTCATTATGTGCTTAAACATAAGGCTGGACACAACAACCAGGTGGCTGATGCACTCAGACGACGCCATCTATTGCTTCAAACATTGAATCACAAAATCGTGGGATTTGAAGTGATCAAAGATTTATACAGTCATGATCCATATTTTAAAACAATATGGGAACAATGTCACGGTGGCAACTGTAAACAGCTCCATTTAAAGGAAGGATATCTTTTCTTTGGAAAGCGACTTTGTGTGCCAAATTGTTCTCTCAGATTAGCTCTTTTGGGAGAAAGTCATGATGGAGGATTGGCTGGGCATTTCGGTAGAGATAAGACCATTAGTTTGTTGTCTGAAAACTTCATTTGGCCTGCCTTAAAGAAGAATGTGGGACGATATGTGCAAAGTTACAGTGTCTGTAAACGAGCTAAGACTTCTAGCTCCAATGCGGGATCGTATACACCGCTGCCGGTACCTTCGTCTCCATGGGTGGATATCAATTTGGATTTCGTAGTCGGATTACCTCGTACTCAGAGGAACAAGGACTCCATTATGGTTGTGGTGGATCGCTTCTCTAAAATGAGTCATTTTGTAGCTTGCACAAAGACTCTGGATGCCACACACGTCGCGGATCTGTTCTTCAGGGAAATCGTTCGTCTTCATTGGGATTCCGAGAACTATCACCTCCGATCGGGATGTGAAGTTCTTGAGCCATTTTTGGAGAACTCTTTGGGGAAAATTCGGCACTAGGTTGCAATTTAGCTCAGCTGCCCACCCTCAAACAGACGGACAAACTGAAACTGTTAATCGCAGTTTGGGTAACTTGATAAGATGTTTTGTTGGGAAGAATATCCGCCAGTGGGATCTCATCTTAGCCCAGATCGAATTTGCTTTCAATCGATCTGTTAATCAAGCTAACAAGTGTAGTCCTTTTGAGGTCGCTTATGGGTACAATCCCATTACTCCGCTGGATCTCATACCAAATACACCTTCTGTCTTCAATATTGAGGGTGAACAGCGTAGTCGAAAAATACAGCAATTGCATAAAACCGTTCAAGAAACCATTGCAAAACACAATGCCAAGTGTAAGAATCAAGCTAACAAGCATCGACGAAAAGTTGAATTTAACGAAGGTGACATGGTATGGATTCATCTCCGGAAAGATCGATTTCCTCGAGGATCTTTCGTGAAATTAAAATCCAAAGCTGATGGTCCTTTCCATATTATCAAAAAGTTCAATGATAATGCTTACCAGATTGACCTTCCGGGCGATTATAACATCTCTGCTACCTTTAATGTCGTTGATCTAACGCCTCACTATGAGTTAGATGATTCTCCTACCCCGGGAGAATGACACCGGAGTGTCCCCTGCTTCAGTCCCACCGCCTCCTCTGTTTTTGTTTCCCTTAATTCATTTCTTTTCTTTGTAATATTCGTTTGTTTCATATGATTACGCATGTTGCTTTTCCTGTAGCTGAGTATATTTCCAGCGGCTATAAAGCCTATTCAAATAAAGACGGGAGGTAGATTTTTGGAGATCAAACAAACCCTGTTCATTCTTTATGAATTTTTCTGTATCCTGTAGGAGTACAGGTGGTGATCGGAGTTCGACAAAGGAATAGTAATCTTCCGTTGAGCTCTCGGGAGAAGGTAAGCTTTGCTTCCGTCTCCTAAATCGCAAGCTGTTCGTTCGTCGTCTTACCAGCCGGTGTCATTGAGTCTCTTGATAATATGGGAATATTATAAATTCCTAATCTTTCACTTGATGAGCCTAAATTAGAAGCTATGATATTTATTGAAGATGATATAGAAGTTCAAAGACAAACCCTAAACCCTAAACTTCATGTGCTAGACAATTTATGTTTATGCTGCTGTTGTTGTACTAGACATTTAATGCTTACTTTTATTTTGATATTATAAGCTACAAGGGTACAAATGATGTTACTTTCTTTTTTTTTTTTTTGTAATTTCAAATATTATGCTTTGATTGCTTTCTTAATTTTTATGCATGATTTATAAATTATAATGTCATGTCCGCGCCGTACTCGTATCCTGTATTTTTAAGAATTGACGTGTCCCATATCCGTATCGTGTCATATCCGTGTCGCCGTATCCGTATCAGTGCAACATAGGCAATTTGTGATGCACGTTACAGCTGCACTTTTCATTTTCATGTTCTTCTCATTCTTGGTGATTTTTGGAAAGGCTGTCTCAATTGAATGAGCATAAATTTCAACAATAGTATGCGGCTCCTATTTCATGGTTGATTTCAATGTTTTTTAAAATCATGGAACCATACTTCTAATGGAAAGTAAGCATAGGAAATTTTCAAAAAAGATAGGTTTTGGAGTAATTATTGTTTGTGTGCTGGAAAATGGTTGGAAGTCAACTGAGATCATTAAAAATGTCGTTCATAGTAATCCCATGCTTCTAAAACACAATTAAAGAAAAGATGAACTTGTACATATATCTTCCGTGAGATAAAGGCTTCATAAATCCATTTTGAAACCCATTTTGGGCACCTCAAGCAAGACTATAAAAAGAAAGATGAATGGTCAGTATCATAGAGCTTTTAATCTCTAAGAAGCCTATAAGAGAATTACCATAAATAAAGGTTCACAAAATTCCCAAGATAATGATCATTAAATAATTATATAAAAGAACCAAGAGGTGCGCACTAGTGGTTGATTGTCTAGAGGTGTCACCTACTCAAGTTTCTACGCAGCTATAATTTCTTATTAAACAGTTTCAATAGATAATGCTTCAAAAGGCCCTAAGCGGTCATCCACTCTCTAAAAAGGCAAGAAGAGAATTATACCATCTACAAGAGAAAGGAGGGTTCCGTGCATTCACTAGTGGACAATGGTCCAAAGGCATCGCCTACTCAAGTATCCAAACAGCTACAACTTTCTATTAAAAAATTTCAACATATTATGACTTGAAAAATTCTGTGTTCATCCACCTCGGAAGAGATTCAGCATCAAATTGTTCTCAGACATCGAGTCTCTCAAGAAGGGCTTAAATACAGTATAAGCCTAAAGGAATACACGTACTAGCAAATCCAAGTAGAGATTTTGACGTGTAAGGGCTTCATGCAAAATAGTCTAAGTTAGTGAGCAATCACTGCCAACCAAATTCAAACAAGGAACGGTAATTAAGGATGTGTGTGAACAGAAACTATTAATATGTTAAAGGTTAAATTCGAGTTCCTTATCCTTACCACAATGAGCTGTTGAAAGAGTTGCACGGTGTAGAAGATCTATTCCATGACAGACCTAAAAAACAATCTTCCAATTCCTACAATGCCCGATAAAGAATAGAGCATGTAAAATAAAGGATGGGCTATACGAATTTGTTGTAGTGCTATTCAATTTGTCAAATGCTAGAAGCACATTTATAATGCTCATAAACCAATGGCTTAAGTCCTTAGTACCGGTGAATAATTCAAGGTCAAAATACAAGAATAAAGTAAATAAGCTCATCCATACTTGTCAATGGCGCAAAATAGCGCGCGCCATGGCGCACGGCGTGGCACGGCGCACCTACGGCGCCATGTTCATGGCAAGGCGCATGTGTTTAAAATAGCGTGCGCTATTTGCGCCACATGTTAGCCATGGCGCATGGCGCACGGCATAAAATTGTGCGCCAAATTGTTGCTTCCGCCGAATCGTCCCGCAAAGTAGTGCTTTTGCCAATACCGAGTGATCGGTACCACTCGGTATTGCTATGTACATGCTCGGTACCGCTAGGTACATGCCCGGTACCGCTAAGTACATGTTCGGTACTGCTATGTACATGCTCGGTACCACTCGGTATTGCTATGTACATGCTCGGTACAGCTCGGTACATGCTCGGTACCGCTAAGTATATGCTCGGTACCGCTCGGTATCGCTATGTACATGATCGGTACTGCTCGGTAGATGCTCAGTACCTCTAGGTACATGCTCAGTACCGCTATGTACATGATTGTTTTTCATTATTATGATAGCTTGTCTTTCATTTTTAATGATATTTCATATTCCTGTTTATTATTTTATAATTTTTATTTAGTTTGCGCCATGTTCAAAATGGAGCGCCGCGCCGTGCGCTATGCGCCATGGTGCGCCATTCGCCATTAATAGGTATGAGCTCATCAAACCAGAAGAGGTTGAAAGGCATGAGCCATGAGCCAATTTTATATTTTGCAGGGTTTGAATATGAATCGTCATCAGACCAATCTACTAATTTTGTAAGTAAATTAAGCATATAAATGCCCACAACTACCAAAATAAAACATCTTCTTCCCATACAATGGCGTGTCCTCATTAATGGAAATGGTGTAACTGATAGAGCATTGAATCTTGAATAGAAAGTTTAAAAGTTTCTCGAGATTCATCAGTGCAACGGTGCCTGCCCAAGCTCCACTTCATGCTTCAAGCTGCTGTTACATCAATAGTTATTCTAACAAATGTCACAAATTGAAGAAATAACTCAAGATAAGCAATGATTTGTTGAATGCTAGATGATAGCAGATTCCTAGACTGTTTAGTAAAAAAAGGTGTAATGCTTGATTAAGAATTAGAACAAAAATATGTAAAACTGTTATCAAAGTAATTTTAGTAGTTTTCAAAATAAGAATCCAAAATATCTAAAATATCCTGGCTATAAATACTTCTATATGAGATCAAAATGATTTCTTCTAGGAATGTTCAAACCATATTTATTTCATTTTACTGCATATACGTCATTAAAAATAGATCTACCAAATGTTTAGGTCAATAAAATCTCAAAGCAACAATACGTCAACCAAAAGGATTATATAGTATGAGTGTTGAAGAAAAATGCCACTCTAGTATCTAAGATATTTCAAGGCCATCTTTGCATGATTAAAAGACTTCAATAATAAACGAAACTTCAAGAAAATCAAAAAACAAAAATAGTACCTGATCATAACTTGATGTAGCTTTATCAAACCTTCGGCGACAATCCTACAAAATTACCATGCATTACTAGTCAAACTTTTTTTATGATTTTGCATTCTGAATTTCAGTTGGGGCTGTCATATAAGAATCTTCGTGATTAAGACACTACGAAATCATAAGTGTCTTTAAAAATATAAATATCCCAATTTCTAAATAATAAATAGAATTTTAGTTCTTGCAATGAGAAAGTCAACAGATGCTTATCAAAACCTGAGACAGCACATACGCATGCATGCTCATGCATCACAGTATGCGAGTGAGCGAGCTAGCTAGGCACATGTTTCTATTAGTGAAGAAAAGTTAACTAAATCAAACAGAATAAATTCATGTATAGCTGCACTTAAATGTATACGCTGATGAATACAAGCATAGCATGTTCATGCCCAATGCCTAAGAGCAATTACACCAGACAAATAAAAAGCACTTGTACACCATACTGGAATGGATGCCTTCATATGTGTACTTCTTAAATACATAAATGCATTCATGCAACAATAAAATGTTAAAATAAATATGAAAAATGTGTGTGCCTGTTATGATGATGAGCTACAACATGTCTTCCTTGTGTGTTTTGAACCCAGGATATTCAAAACCATAGGCGCCATCTTCCAGCCTTTTTAAAGTTGAAAAGCCAAAGTAAACTGCTATTGGCAGCTTCAAAACAAACATTCCCAAATTCTGAGGGAAGTTAAAAAATCCTAAAAAACCCAAACGCAAACCAAAGACGCCAACTTCGAGCCTTTCTAAAGTTGAAAAGCAAGACTAAACAGCCATTGAACACTTTAAAACTTTTTTTTTTTAATTATGAGGGAAACTGAAAATCATATATATATATATAGAGAGAGAGAGAGAGAGAATGATCAAAATAGTCCATTAACTCTCTATTAAGGACCAAATGATGCCCAATTATATTAAAGGACCATTTTTGTTCCCTAAAGTCTATACAAAGAAATCAAAATAATCTCATTTTTAGAAGCTATTCCTCTCTGGCAGTGAATATTTGTTTGTTGCGACAACAAATAAATGAATCAAAGCTATCGAAACTTTTAACTTGTGATACAAATAGAATATTAATTTTTGTTGTTACCTTTATATTTTGCATATCAGTAGTGATGACCTGCATCAAACGATCGCTAAGCATATGTTCAACCTGCATTAAAAAGGGAACTCAACAATTCAACAACCACAAGATAAGCAAGATATAATTTTTGTTACATCGAATTGCATGTCACAAGATCGATCATGAAAATGCTTTCTAACTAATAAAACAGAATTGATGCATTCTATAATGCAACTCGAACAAATTGAACAAGAACACACACATACTTTGCAAATGACTCGAGGAAAATGGCAGATGAACCAGTAGAAAGAAGATAGCTATTGAGGTAAGTTGATGTTTATGAAGGTAAAAAATCGTTATCAATACTGAACTGGTCATCGACTCACATTAAAAGACCTTCATAGAAACCCTATGCCATCATGCCATCTCAATAACCCCCTATATTTCTCAAGTGAAAAATACCATTCACATGAACAATAAACAAGCCCCTTGCCCATTCAAAAATTTTAAAAAAAAAATTCCAACCATGAAGGAAGTGGCTATTATTAAATGGTTACCTACCGCGCTAGTTAATAACCTATTATGAATATGCAAAAGCCTATGATCATCCTATGATTTTTTTAAAACAATGAACAAGAATGAAATAAGAAACAAATGAGAGAAAATCTTAAAATTCCATATAAAAATTGAACACTCTTATACATTGATCATTTGTTAAATAAGTGATGCAGTTTATTTATTCCTAAAGGTATATATGTCTGCTACCTATGATCTTTTCTTTTAACATTTTTCTCCTTTAAACTATTGCACAATGTGATGTCTGGTTATGATTCTCATATTAGTTCAAAAAATCAGCATGCATATGCATTACTTCTGATACTTATATGTTCAATACTATACTATAATTATTTATCCTACCAAGCATTTAGCTCATCAAGAGATATATTGCAAGAAAGGGAAAGGAACCAACGGAGTTTTAAGCAAGTGATAGACTGCACTTTATACATAATCCTTTTGGTGTATAATTTTTGGTAGGAGGGGTATAATTTTTGGCAGGAGGCCAGATCAGTAAGCTATAAATTAAAGATTTTGAATAGGTAAAATATTATTTGCAGTTTATTTAACAAAGCTTTGCATTTTGAAAAAATGAATATTGTGTATGCTTTCGAACATTTAATGCAAGGATATAATCCTCTAATTGGAGTACAGTATTTGTGTTGTGATATTATGGATAGATTAATTTTCTACTCACTTGATCCTGATGAGTATTTTTTTTTTGTTCTTAAACTTTCATCCTTTTACCTGTGAAACTATAACTTAAGGTTTCGTCCACTCAAGTGAAGTCATCTCTAGCAATGCATTATTATTACAAAAATAGCAGTTCATTATCTACATGAAAAGATATCATTGAAATTTAAAACAAGTTCATAACTAGTAAAATAGTCATAATGAAGTCCAGTACTTCATATAATACATGGTTCATAATAACAAAATGAGAACAAGAAAGAATTGCACTTTAAGTTACCTGAGACCGAAGAAGTTCTTTGTAAGTGCCAAGTTCCCTGAATGCAGTGGTAAACTTAGACATAACAGGCCCTGCATAAGAAGATCAAATGCAAGCTTTAGAGTTTGATTTATACCAAAAATTACAAAATATCAGAAAAAGAAATTAAACTTGAAATATTTATAAGTTGGAAACTTGCATTATGTGGTCAGCCTATTTTTCTTTTATAGGTTATGCACACAAATTAATTAGCATGATTATTTGGTTTCTTTATTTATATTATTTTTTTAGAGAATCTAATTGAGGGGATCAGTTGTACTACAACAACAAAAACAACAACATCAAGCTTTTATCCCACTACGTGGGGTTGGCTACATGAATCTTATTTCTCCATTGTGTCCAGTTACGAGTCAAATTCTCATTTAGATCTAATAAAAAAAGGTCATTTTTAATATTTTCTAATCAAGTCTTTTTAGGTCTACCTCTACCTTTCGTAAGATAGATTAAATCTAATACATCTACTCTCCTAACAGGTCATCGGAAGGCCGCCGTTTTATGAGACCAAACCATCTAACGCGACTCTCTCTAATTTTATCTGCAACTTGAGCTACTCCAACCTTTTCACTTCTATGCTCATTTGTATCTTGTCTCTAAGAGTAAAGTCACTCATCCACTTGAGCATCCTCATCTCTGCAACACTTAACTTAATATTATGCTTCTCTTTTAATGAACAACATTCTGCGCCATAAAGCATTACAGGTGTAACCACCATCTTATAGAATTTTCCATTAAGTTTGAATGATACTTTTCTATCACACAACAAGCCCGATGCATTCCTCCATTTCATCCATCCAACTTGAATTCTACTAATAATATCCTCATCTATTTCACCATCACTCTGAACAATAGACCCAAGATATCTAAAATGTGTACTCTTATAAATGACTTGATAGTCAAAGTTACAAACCCCCACTAGATATATTACTACTAAAATTACACTCCATGTATTTTATTTTAGATCTACTCAAACGAAAACCTTTTGACTCTAAGGTTGACCTCCATAATTCAAGTTTACTTCAACTCCCTCTTTTAGCCTTATCAACAAGAAGAATATCTTCAGCAAAAAGCATACACCATGGAGCATCCTCTTGCAAATCTCTAGTAAGAACATCCATGAATAAAACAAAAAGATATGGGCTTAAGGCTGAACCTTGATGTAATACAACTGAAATTAAAAAATACTTGGTCAAACCACCTTGTGTTTGAACACAAATAACATCTCCAACATATATATCCCTAATGACTTGAATATAAGCAATATTAATCCCTTTCTTTTTTAGAACTCTCCATAGCACTTCTCTTGGAACTTTATCATATGCTTTCAGATGCATCTTACAAGGATACACGGTAGATAATTTTGCAAGAAAACACATTCCTCAGAGCAAGAGCACTTGAATCATTAGCAATTACAATGGACCCAGTTACTTGAAATAATTAAAAATTAAGAAAAATGCATCATAGATGATGCCTTAGAGGAAAAAAGCATAATAATAGTACAAAAGCTTTCAGCTCTAGTCAACCATATAACAACCTAATGTACACGTTCAACTATCCATAATAATTATGATGAGGGCAAGAAGAGATAACAAAAGCTGGCATTCTTGAATTAATTGAACTAGTGACTATAACAATTATTATTAAATCTCAGTTGTCCCTTGGCCCTTAATCCCATGGCCAACATGGGGATTCATAAGATGCTCACCTGTTAAATACCAGTCGTTCCTTACCTCTTGATCTTATGACCAACATGGGGATTGGGGATCCATGGGAGGCTCACCTGAATCATGCTGATCTCCTTTCATAATTAGATCGCTGATTTAGAAAGGATTATATCAGGAAAATTATGCATTATTTTGTAATTATTTGTTTATTTATTAAGATATCTTGTAAAGATCTATAAATAGGGATAGTTATATAATAAAATTAAGTCTTTCCCTCTCCAATTCTATGATTTAACATGGTATCAGAGACAAAATTCTAAGGAATTTTGAGGAATACAGGTTCCAACTACCGACCTTCATTGTCGGAATTCTTAGGAATATTTGTCCCTCTACCGGCCTTCATTGTCAGAATAATGAGGAATACAGGTTCCCACCACCAGCTTTCATTGTCGAAATTTTGAGGACCTTCGTGCAACCAAGATCGAAAAGAGATCGAACGGGAGGACTCCTCTTGCGTGCGACATCCAAAGTCAAGAAAGTAGAAGCGAGCGCAGAACCTCCTCCTACGTGTGTCTAAAAAGAGCCGAGAGTTTCCTCTCATGCGAGGGTAGGGACATGCAAGAGTGCAAGACTTGTACTCCCTCATACGATCAGACCAGAGAGATCAGAGGCCTTGAGTGCACCTGTATAGGCCGATCGAACATGAATTTGTTCAAGTGGAGTCAAACGACTTGGGAAGGAGGAGATTTGTATGCCGAGTGTTGAGTCACTTGAGACGTGTTTTTTTTCTCTTGTCCTTGAAGCTTGTCGCAACCTAAAAATATTTTTTTTTTCCTTTTTAACTATTGTGCCTTCATTGTCGGCCTTACCTTGAGAACCGAGAGGGAAACAAACACAATGGATAATTAATACACTTTTCATGCTTTGTCATTTTCGGTATCTTGAGGGCCCTGCACCTTGCAAGCTTAATTGAGTTAGCCTTCATTGCTATCTTTTATCACAATAATATTTGAAGCTAATTCCTCTCAAAGCTTTGACCAAATGAAGGACTCTATAGTGAACCAAGGAACTTGATAACTCTACCTTTCTAGGATTAATTACTAAGCTATGAATGAAAAATATGTATTCCTCAACTTGAGGGGGAGTGTTAAATCCCAGTTGTCCCTTGGCCATTGATCCCACGGCCAGCATGGGGATATGTGGGAGGCTCACCTGTTAAATAACAATTGCTCCTTACCTCTTGACTTAGGGCCAAAATGGGGAACCATGGGAGGCTCACCTAGATCATGTCAATCTCTTTTCATATTTGGGTAGCTAATTTAGGAAGGATTATATTAAGACAAGTATGCATTATTCTATAATTATTTATTTCTTTATTAAGATATCTTGCATGGATCTATAACTAGGATAGTTGTATGATAAAATTAAGTCTTTTCCTCTCCAATTCTCTGAATTTAACAATTATGATAAAAATATGCAGAAATAACATAGCTGAATTTAATCAGTCGATTCAATAATTTGCTTTGGAATCCTCATAATTTAGAATTAGGAATGATATGTAATACTGAAAAAACAATCTAATTTGATTAACCTCCAATAGCAACACTAGTAGGATCGTCCTGCCCAGCACCAAAAGCTTCTAATGACTCTGCGAAGGTGAAATCTGCATCAAATGCTTGTCCAATTGAATTCCTGTAAAAAATGAACAAAATAGCAGAATAGCAGCCTCAAATATATCATGAATAATTTTACGAATAGAAAGAAAATTAATCTTCAACTTTTTTGCATTCGCCTACTAGATGTTCATTGATATGTCTAGCTCAACACACACATGAATATTTCAAAATGTAAATCAATGCCCTGAAAAAACGCAAGGCACAGATACCCTAAAAATAATAGAATTATGAAGTCCAGAGTGCATAAACATTTCTACTTTAAAAAAAGGGGAATACGGCAGATTGGGTAAAGGCAGGCAGTGTCTAAAGGTTTACAATAGATATCCATTTTTTTGCTAGAAATCAAGAGATTAATGAGGTGGAAACCTTGCTAACTGCTTAATGTCCTACATGTGAACGAAGAAACTTGCTGAAGAAGGTACTTTTTGGCACATAATGAGCATCAGCAGCAGCAACAACATAGACCTTACTTATCCCAACAACCTGAGATCATCTCTAACAAGATTCATTTGGACTAAAATAAAAGAAACATACTTACATAAATCTCTTGCATCCCTTTTGAAGCCTTTGGCAGCGCTCTTTTAACTCATCGGCTTCTTGTTCTAATGAAAAGATCTTAACCAAAGAAGACTATTTTAGTTGTAGTCAAAGAATACAATAATAACAAGCTAGCAATAAATTATCCCACCACATCAATTAATAATGATCAAATTTCCAAAAAAGAAAATGACGACAACAATCTGAAATAAGTATCTAGATTATGTAGAATTAGATTTAAACGAAAACCCGTGGCTAGAAGAAGACAAATAATAGAAATTATTATAGTTTTTTAATATATTTAAACATAGCTACCAGTTATGTCACGACCATATTCTAACCCAGCAGATGAATTCAACAAGCATGAAATCAAATAGTCGAAGGCTGATGCTGCAACAGACAATAAGGTGCGTTCCAGCAAAGGTTAAATTGGCAAAATCCCTGTTGTCACATGCTAAAGAACGAGATATTCAAGCAATTAAATATTTGACAGCCTGTTAGCGTCCATAAATGCCATGGCATAGGATTCAATCACTGCTCCGGATCAACTGACCCAATTGCAATCCTGAAACTAAGACAATGTTGAAATCATAGGACTGGTGGTCGCAAGAGAGAAATTTCAGTCTGTCTTTTCATATCGAACAAAAAGGCCAAAGATATTATCCCTTATACTCAAAGCATAATGTCAACATGTAACTATGTGCCCATGCAAAACAAAAACTCAAGTTTGCTCATGCATAACCTCGAACAAGCCTGGCAAATCACCTATCCCAGCCACAAAAATGAGCAGGCACCATCTGATGATCTAAATTCAACACATTTATAGTTTCAGACTAAAATGGACCCATACAAATAGTCCCGAGACCATTTTAGTGAACCTTACCTTCCCCAATGACTACCTCAATCATTAAGGATTGAGGAAACTTAGAGGAAACTATGTTGGAGCACTATCCGGAAAACACCACAATAGCAAAAACTCTATCCTAAGGTTTACGACAACAAGCTTTGCTCTACTTGCACATTTTTTCATGGCCACCCTAGCACCACAAGCAATTGGTTTCTAGGAATTCCTCCTCAATCCCCACAAATATAGCTTGATGTTGTCACTTATACTCAATTTTTTTAAGCAAGGGCTCGAGGCCCCTAGTCATACCTTCAATAAAGCCAATCATCAATTCACATGAATCTTTGAATCCTTACATAGCTTAGATTTATTATGTCACCACATAACCACCTTTCTTATGCAATGAGACACAAATATCAAAAGTTACCCTCAATAGCACCACCATAACAAATATCAAAAGTTACCCTCAATAGCACCACCATAACAAATATCAAAAGTTACCCTCAATAGCACCCCCCCCCAAAAAAAAAAAAAACTTCATAACTTACCAACTTGAATAAAAAATTCATTACTATGGCCAAAGCACCAACAATGAATGGAGACTTGCAAAATAAGAGCGTGGAATAAATTAGTCCCTTCACCCTCAAATATGATCCAAAATAGTCCTTTTGCTCTTTAAATCTAATCCAAAATAATGCAACAAATGGACTATTATGGATCATATTTGAGTAATCAATAAACTAAATTGAACACATTTATAGTTTTGGACCAAAATGGACTCATACAAATAGTCCAAGGACCATTTTCTCATTCTTAAATGCAAAAGAAGCCAAACTTACCTCCCCCTATGACTACCTCCAATCATGAAGGATTGAGGGAACTTAGAGAAAGATTGTGTTGAAGCACCATCTGGGAAATGTCACAACAGCAGAAACACCATCCTAAGATTTACAAAAACAAGCTTTGCTCTACTTCCACATTTTTCTCATGGCCACCCGAGCGCCACTAGCAACAAGTTTCTAGAAATTCCTCCTCAATCCCCACAAATAAGGCTAGATGTTGCCACCTATACTTAATTTTTTTGGCATAGGATCGAAAGGCCTATAGTCCTACCCTAAATAATGTCAATCATCAGTTCACATGATCTTTGACTCCTTGCATAGTTTAGATTTATCATATCACCACACAATCAACTTTCTTGATCCAGGGAGGCACAAACTTGTCAAAGGTTACCCTCAATAGCACCGCCATACCCAGCAAATATGACTCCTTCAAGTGGCTATGTAGAAGTGTTGTTAAAATTTCAAATAAGCATGGCCAAAAACATTTCATTGTTGACAAAATTTGGACAAAAATACAAGGGAACTTAACAAGTGAAACAATTAAAGAATAGCACATGATAGTGAAAGTGATCTAAACTACTATAAGTTGTATCAAACTCTTTCAAACCACATGACAAACCCATATTGTGTTACATCACCAAGTGAGTCACAGTGATGTGTTTTGTATCATGTCATGTGGCCTTGGATCACTATGGTTCATCGTGATTCATTAAATAATTTGAACCACATTCCTAGACTCCACATTTTGTAAGGACACTTTCCCTTGGTTATAAAAGTAGCCAAGTATTATTCCAATGCATGTATTGTTACCTTCAATTGTCCTCTTCTTAAAGAATCAAAATGTTATAAATCTTGAAAATGCATCACATAAAATAAAGATAGTTAGGCCAAATCATATGGGCTTAATATGAAATAAAGTCAACTTCGCAACCTCCGAAGAAAAATCCCCAAAGAATAATACCAATGGCTACTCGAAGTATCATCGCTTAGCCTTTCCACTCAAAATAAGTCAAGAGTGCCCAATTATAAAATAGAACAAGGTTCAAAAAATAACCAATGACATATCAATGCAACCAAAATGATCAAATTTTTAGCCTGAAGCAATGAGAGCCACATAAACTGCTCTAAACTAAATGGTCTTGTCCAAAATCTGTCCCTAAACCAAACATGAATCAATCTTTGCATTCCACAATTCCTAAATAACCACTAGTTTGAGTTCATTGAGCTACATGGATCTTTTGATTGGAAAAAAATTCCTTCATTAGTCAAAGTATACCGCAACAAGTCGCCTTGACATGTTTCCACTCTTGGTCTTTGGGTTTCACTTTAGATGAGGCACTTACCGTTATTAAACTATTAAGTCCAAGAAAATAACAAAACCCACAAATAAGCCATGGTCACCTCAACTCCTCTAACTATTCAACATTAGGTCCACTGGTAGACCTTGGAAGATGGAACAATCGGACTTTTGCATGATTTAACACCATTTGGCCACATCTCATTTAAGCACAAAGTAGCATTTTCCTACCAAAAAAAAAAAAAGGGAATCCATCCATAAAGCCAAAACTACGATAAACTCCTACACATCTTTAAAAGAAATTGCCCTTCTACGAGAGGATGTCTAACTAAAAATAACAAATTACACCCATGAAAACCCTCAAACTAAGAATATAAAATCTTCAATGATAATATAATCTTTAGTTAGTACATTATCAATTGTATAAACTGCATATTAAAATAACCTTTCAAATCCTCACAAGTTATAAGAAGTTTTCAAGATCCCACACAACTTTAGAGTGAAGCTCTTCTTCAAATCCTTCACTAAATAATAAATATGGACTTCCATTATTCTAGAGAACCGCCTTCAACTGCTTAGTGCTTACATAAAGTTAAAATCTTCTATGAAGTTGCCTTTTCCTTCTTATAGATTGATAGAACAAAATAATATCTCTTCCCATCTTTTCAAAAAAATATAAAATAAATAGGAAATATAGTGATGACTACACACTTGAGTGGCCTTTCACATGGCATGTGACATACAAAAAATATAAAGTAATTTTCAAACATGCAAGCATTGTTGGATAAAAAATCATGTCTATAAACTATGCTTCCACATACTGAGGCATTAATTTACTAAACAAGACAGTCTGGTGAGAAATGATACCTATAAGGATCCTACATATTTTAGGAATGACCACTCAAGACTGAATAAATTTCTTATGCCATTAATTCATTCAGACTATGGCTAAGTTTTTTTAATCAAAAAGGTGATAGAGCTAACAAAAAGTCAGAGACATTCATCATTCCGTATTCTCCTGTCAAACACCTTTTTCCAAGTGTCTTCAAGAACTCCAGGATTCATCTAATCGTGTTTCACTATAAAGAAATAAGAACCCAAAAGTGTAAGTTGCAGGATAATATGATTATTTTCTAAGAAGAAACTAAAGAAAATGCTCTATTTCATGGCCTTAAATCAAAAGATAGAAAGAGTATTTGGAATTTCCAAAAACTAGACACATATGGTCAAACCAAGTGATTACAGGGCATGCATAGCTCGCATATGGCTTCCAAAAACTCATATCCTTGCCCTTAATACTAAAAAAAGTAAAATCTAGTAATTTAAAAATAACAATAGGACAACATTAAGATCATTTGCTAAACCGAAGAGCAAAGTAAGCCGATATAAATCAGGAGATTATAATGAAATGTAATATTCTAAATCAAAAGACAACCCTGAAATTGGAAAGTTCATAACAATCAAACCAAACAAGAGAGAGAACAGAACCACATGTTAGACAGGAAGGACAAAAATCTTGGGATCAACAAAATCAAGGATAGATGTCCTCTATTTTTATCTCCATGGTTACAGGCATGATAAGGAACTCAATCACGAATGAAAATAAAGCAATGAGTCAAATGAAACTCTTCCAAAATCTAATGGGAAACAAAGAAAATTAATGTAAAAAGATATCTGCAAGTCAATATAATATGCAAAAAATCTTCACAGATATATTCCCAGATTTGGAGGATAGATACAGTTTGCTAATATTTGTAATACCTTATAAATAATCTTAATTGAAGTTATGGTGATATATTTCCTAATATGTTACATTTATATGATCAAAGATATTATAGATTATATTTGATAAACTATTTCCGATATGTGAGAAGTTTTCACAAGGATTTTTCATTTCATATGTTGTGATTCTGCAATACATTTAACCTAGGATTCCTTTTGCATCATCTTCCCATGTAGATGTGACACACTACCACACGATGTATGAGTGGGCAGCTTTTACACTCACCCACCATGGAACACTGTACATCCAACCTTACATAGACTTCGTCATGAGGCCAGTAGCTTTGCTAATTAGCATACCTACCTAAAAGATCAATAGTGAGAAAACCACATGAGAATGACTCCTTCAATATCCACCGTCTCTGCTAAATCCTAGGGGCAAGCCCTTTGAACCCCAAAGAGAGCGGTCAGCCCCTGTCCATCCAAGACTTCTAAGCGGTTTGGCTCCACCGCCCCATTATGCGCATTAAGAAAAAACCACGATGGACCAATCAATAGAGTATGCCAAAACCCTTTGCCTCTTGTTGCAAGAAGGCTAGTCCATCCTCCTCCAAAGTTAGTGATAAGAAACTCAAAAGCCCGCAGCTATGGAGAAAATATGAGAAAAAATGAAGAAAGATCATCCTCGTGTGTATATGCAAGCCAACTTGTCTGTTATGCTACAGTTTTGAACATCCCCGTGCTCATTCAAATCGTCAGTTAGCTAAGACGAACAATTACAATATATCAATAGAATGACAATAACAAGTTGTGTGCACTATTGGTTGCTTAATGCAAAACCTAGAAAGATTATTAGGACTGCTCATGGGATATAATAAAATAATCCATCATAAGAAACGGCTTTCACAACAACAACAACAACAACATCAAGCCTTTGACCCAATACGTGGGGTTGGCCACATGAATTCTTTTTCACCATTGTGTCCTATTAAAAGTTAAATTCTCATTTAAATCTAATAAAAAAATATCATTTCTAATACTTTCTAACAAAGTCTTTTTAGGTCTACCTCTACATCTCTTAACATAAGACAAATCTAAAACCTCAACTTTCCTAATCGGGTCATTGGAAGGCCTCCATTTAATGTGACCAAACCATATAAGGCGACTCTCTCTAATCTTATTTTCCAGTAGAGCTACTCCAACCTTTTCACGTATATGCTCATTTCGTATCTATCTCTAAGGGTAAAGCCACTCATCCACCTAAGCATCCTCATCTCTGCAACACTTAACTTAGTATTATGCTTCTCTTTTAATGGCTAACATTCGGCACCATAAAGCATTGCAGGTCTCACCACCATCTTATAGAATTTTCCCTTAACTTTGAGGGGGACTTTTCTATCACACAATAAGTCTGATGCATTCCTCCATTTCAACCATCCAACTTGAATTATGTGGATAATATTCCCATCCATTTCACCATCACTCTGAACAATAAATCCAAGATATCTAAAACGTATACTCTAATTAATGACTTGATCGCCCAAAGTCACAATCCCCTCACTAGGTCTATTGCTACTAAATTACACTCCATATATTCAGTTTTAAATCTACTCAAACGAAAACCTTTGGACTCTAAGATTGACCTCCATAATTCAAGTTTACCTTCAACTCCCACTTTAGTCTTATCAACAAGAAGAATATCATCAACAAAAAGCATACACCAAGGTACATCCTCATCAAAAAGCAGAAACGACTTTCACTGTGTCAACAAAATCCCTTTCAGTGGCGAACTTCTGTTCTAGTTTTGGAAATTTTCATCTGTCAATAAACATGTTAGTTTATGCCTGCACCCTAACCTTTAATCATGTAACAACTTTGTCCACAACAGTCTTCCACAACCAATTTGTAATATAAGGAAGCATTGCAATGTTCAATCCTCAATTTCAGCGATCAAGCAAGAGCATTTTTTTAGGGGGGGAAAAAACCTCCAAAGAAGTCATCATTCTTTGATATTGGTTTGTTGGTTGAGTTAACAACCATTGTTGTATACTCCTTTTGTCTTTTGTTTGTCCTTTAAATGAATTTTAGGCAACTTCAGGTCAAATTCAAAAAATTACCAAAGATACTCCTAAATTATTGGCATCCTTTTCTGCTAACTGATCAATTCAAACAGCTTGCTTAAACTACAATTCTTCATCAATTTCACGCCCACCGCCATGCGATCAAAGAAATGCTTAAGGTGCAGCCAGCTAGCAACCAACCCCCACCCCAACAGAGAGAAAGAAAAAGAAATATCGGAAGAGGGAGTTATTATATAATAGCTATCGGAGGTATAACTTGAGAAAAAGAGGCATTTTATTCCTATGATTTTTAGTCCACATATCAAACGTCCAGCAAACAGAGTTTTATATCTGACTCTTCCTATGTTATGCTACTGTTCTTCCACTTCCCCTTTTATGGCGAGATTCACGCAATTCAAAAGGTGAGCAGCTAGCTTGTTCTAGCGCTGATCTAGATTGACGCTACTAAATTAGTGAGTGACGACCATATGGGAGTGAAGTTTTCTTCATGGATTGACGACGACTGCTTAAAATCGCAGCAGAGGATTAGTAATCATTAAATAAGGGAGTTAAGAGTGACATCCGGATCAAAAAAAAAGTAGTCAAACCTGTTTCCTGAACATAGGGGAATCTTCCAGCTTCGCGAAAGCCGCCATTTCTTATTGCCTCTCCTTCCCACTGGAGCAGTTAAGATCTTCAACGGATCTAACGCAAAGCTCGCAGAGGAGGCAGATATTTGTTTTGCTTGCCGGAGCCGATATGTCCCTTCTGCACCCGCTTCTATCTTCTTTTAGGGATTTTATACTTACAAAAACATAAACAAATCTAAGTACAAAGATGAATATTATTTGCCACATTTTGTTTACTTTTAATATTTATAAGATAACATTAATATTATAGACAATATTACATTAAATGAATATGATATTTCACCAAAAATCATATTGATTTAGTACGAATATCGAGGCATATTTGAATTAGAACCCATCAAAATTCAATTTATGATCATATAAGTTTTGATTTCAACAAATTTATATTAGCATTAGGTATATTTGAATTAGAACCCGTCAAAATTCAATTTATGATCGTCTAAGCTTTGATTTCACCAAATTTATAGTAGCATTAAGCAGTTCAACGAGACGAACCAAACGATAGAAAAATCGGTCCAACCCAAATCCAAATGGGCCCAAATCTAAGGATCAAAGTATTAATTGCAAAAACAAATGACATGCTTATAGTCAAATCGAGTGGCTCAACGAGATGAATCCAACGAGCCCAAGATCATCAAATTCTAAAATCACAAAGGCATTTAAATGCTCAATCAACAATCTATGATCAAATAAATCAATATCGACCATCCATCCTAACACTTCCAAAATGCCCTTGATTTCCCACAAATTTATAAGGCATGCCACTCCGAAAAGATTATAAATAGCTCCACATTCTTCACATGAGGGAACGGTGAAAGAAAGAAGAAAAAAAGTTAGAAAATATTAATAAAAAAAGGAGAGAAGGGAGGGCTTTCTATAATTCTCAATTCATCATCGTTACAGCAGCGACAACCAGTTTTGTCGTTGACAACCACCAGTTACTACTACCGATAACCACCGTCATCTCCAGAATACTATCAAGATTTGACTATATTGTTTGATACATTTGTTCGTTCATGGACACTTTCTAAAATTTCTCCTATGAAGATTAAGCCTTGTTGTTGGGTATAAATATTCGATCTTTGTACTTTTTTTATTATTCAGCAGTGAATAATGGAAGATCTTTGTATCACTTAATATATATTGGATTTTGCAATTGGATTAGGCCTTGTGGTTTTTTTCTTTTCTCGATTTTCCACATTAAAAATTCTTTGGTTCTATTATTTTTATTGTTCGTGTTGAATCTTTGTACACAGCTAAGATATAAAACTTAAATTGTCTACCACACAACAGTTTGACGCCATTTGTGGAAATGTGGTTCTTGACTACGGGTCATTTTTGCTCCAACTTCAAAAAGTCGTTTATGTCAATGTCCTGACACTAATCATTATTGCATCAATTTCATAGGAATCAGATGCAGACTGATCAGAGGGGGAAACCTTGACTGCAACTAAGGCCAAGAAATTTCCTCTAATAGTTTCAACATCTAAGATAATATTTCAGGAATCTTCCAGCAAATGCAATGATACTTCCAATAAATTATAAGCTTTATACAATCCATAATTGAACTTCTACTCTTTGGGCAATGTCTTAACTTGGACCTCAAAAAGGCAACAACTGTCTAAAAATAGATTATTTTTTTACTTTGATACAGAATACACATGGCATTCGCCCTCTCCTAGTCAAGGCATAATCAATCAAATGGGGATTCAATTCAACATCTTCCAACTTCTTCCTTACAGGTTAACATCATCGAGCAATGCTCTGACAAATAACCTCGAATAGGTTAACTATCCTTTATGGATTTCTCTCAACCTATTAATGTCATCAAGCAATGCTCTGACAAATAACCCCAAAAAGGCTCACCTATGAGATAGCCTTAAAGAAAATCTAGTAGTTGACAACATTATCACTAGACAAACTCCATGAGAACAAGTGGTTGATAATGTCATCATTAATATCAAGACCTTAGCATGATAAAAAGCCTCAAAAGGCACTGGAAACAATATATCAAATCATATTTCAAAGATGTATAAATGACTTAGTTTCCTCTAGGGGATAAGTTCATTTCAAATGAAAATAAATATTGAGCTCATACAATAATCTCAAATTCATATACAATATTATTATATTTACATATCAAAATTATATATAAGGTTCGAGTGTACTTTCATTTTCACAAGAAGCTAAAATTAAAATTACATCGACATCATCCATATAAGTTGTGATGCTTCATAATCTAATTTGAAATAATCATTTTTTTATATTTTAATATAAATAATAATCAGAGCCACTAAATATCATATATCAGTAATAAATAGCAAAAATACCTTCTATAATTCTAAATATTAATTTTCATTATAAAATTCCTATAAATCTATTTAGGGCTTTAAAAGTTATAGATAAATATCTACAAAATAAATTATTTTATTTAAAAAATATTGGTGAAATTTGTTTACAAAATTGGCACCTATCATTCCCAAAATCCCCTCTTGTACCGGAAAGTGTCAGTTTTTTTAGGATTTTCAAATGTGCCCAAAAATTATGAAAAAATTTATTTAATTAAAATACTACAATATCAATGTTATGGCAAAAATAATTTGTAATTTGTATGGTTCTACTGTTACTGTTACTGACAATACTAATTGTTACTGTCACTGACAATACTAATTGTTACTGTCACCCATGATACTATTATTGATAATGATATTAATTCATTAATACTTATTGTTAACTCATTCACTGATTATGATATTGATTTAATATCGAAATAGAATAGTTCTGTAGCATGTGCATACTATTATATGATTTTACTGTATCGATATAGTTTCGATGATTTTCATCAAGTCTTTGGTTCTACCAGTTTATATGCTTTTTTACTGATTAAAATGTATTGTTACGAAGACTATTTTATTGATTTGACCCATGTTTACATTAACTTACTGATTTCTGGACTATACTATTTTAGTGGCTTTCACATCATACTATTATATTATTTTATAGATTTTATTACTACTGCTTGTGAGTTTTACTGTTTTTTCACATATTTTTAATTACATGATTGCTACTATTATAAAGTGATTGATGTCATGCATAATGCTGCTTTATCATGCTTTAAATTTTAGTTATAGGATTTAGTGGCATGTTGAGTTTTTTAGCTCATTATATATGATTTAAATAACTTCAGGTCAAGGTAGATGATCAGAAGTGTGAGATTAATCATGATTACGCGGGCTTTACTTTTTTTATTTTAATTATTCTTTTGTATTCAGTATTGGATGATGTGTTGTATTTATATGATTCATGAGTATTGTGCATGATAATTAGAGCAATGAATATTGATATAAATTAATGTTTTGATTACTATATTATTTTTGTTGATATTTCTATTGATAAGATAAAATAAATAGTTCTGGGTGTTGTTATATTAAAGATAAAATAACTATTATTCTAATTTAGATTCTAGGGCATAACAGAACACAAGTAATAATTCGTGTTAACATATTTTTAATGGCTTGTGTATAAGCATCATTAACTCCTTCCTTTCTAGAACTCTCTAGAGCACTTCTCTTGAAACTTTATAATATATTTTCTCTAAATCAATAAATATCATATGTAAATCTTCCTCACTCTCTCAATATTTTTTTCATCAAAGCTCTAATAAAATGTATAACTTCCATAATAGACTTGTTCGACATGATCCAACCTGATTATGAGAAACATTAGTATCATCTCGTAATGTATGCTCAATTACTCACTCCCATAGTTTTAATGTATGACACATTAACTTAATCTTCTTTTATTAGCACACTCTTATCATCATCTTTATTCTTAAAAAATTGGAGCCAACACACTCTATCTTCACTCATCTGACATCTTTTTAGCCTTCAAAATAGTATTAAAAAGTTTAATAAGCCAAGAAATTCTGTGATCTCCTAAGCATTCTCATATAGCTATTGGAATATCATGTCTAGCTATTTTTCTACACTTTATTTTTCTTAAACTCTCTCCAACTTTGATTTTACTAATACAATGATAAAAATAAAAATTTGCATTTTCATTTAGGGTGCAAGGTCACTAAATTAAATTGTATTCTCTCAATCTTCATTGAAAGATTTATCAAAATGTATTATCTACCCATATTGAATATCCTCTTCTAAGAAAAACACTTTTTTATATTCATCATAAATACACTTTATTTGAATTAGATCCTTCTCTTATCTCTTAGCTTGGTCACTTATAAATATATCTTTCACTCTTTTTATTATCTAATCTACTATATAAATCACTTAAAACTAAATTTTTTGCATCACATATTATTTTCTTAGACTCCATGTGGGCCTCTATATATTTCTTAATTTTCTGAGCTTTTACATCTAAATCATGTTATAACAAAGCTTCTTATTTTTTATTATTTATTATATATTTTGATTTCATTACAACTATTATTACTACTATAAGCTTTTTCCTTTTGATTCTTCAAGCACATAATTTACAACATTCTTAATATCACATAACAAAGAGAGAGAGAGGAGGTATTTCACTCATTTACTACAATAAGTGATTGCAGATTTTTCTCCCCAACTTTCTTAATCTCTTAATGACTAACAGGTGTTTATCGTATTCTTTCATGTTGTATCTTTCTTTTAATCCACTGCAGCTATTTTTACTAGTACATTTCAACTTTAGATTCAAAGATTCAGATGTCTCTTTGCATATGATAAGTATTTTCTAGCTATTCTCCATTTCTTCTCTATCTCATGTTATTATTACTAATGGTTCTCCTTCTATTGTTGCTATAAAGGGCATTGGAAATCCTTCTAAATATATATTCTTTCAAATATTTTATGTGCTTTTAGAATTTTCTATAATTATATCACATATTTATTATATTATTAAACTCATAATTATTTCGTAGTATTTTATTTCTTTCATTGTGATTTTTGCGATCTCAACTTAAAGATTGATGGAGGTGTTGCAACTGGTGGAACCTACTACATAATAACCAACGAAATTTTTGCTCTCTTATTTAATGTTACTTTGCATCAATGGTATTGTGGGTTGGGCCACCCTCCAAATTCTTCAAAAAAATTTCTTCTCCTTACTCAAAGTTCAATTGTCATGCCCATATATTGGTTTAACAACATTGCA